CATTGATTTATGCATTCATGACAGATTGTAAAAGAGTTACATTGCATCAAGTCTATAACAAATCCCTATGGGCTAAAATTAGCAGCCAGCACATATAAGTGCTCTCTGTCAGCATTGGGCTTCAGTTACTCCAGAGCTATCATGCAGGAAGGTGTTCATGCAGTTCTCTGCAACTCTTGACTGGCTTCCAACTGAAATAATGCCTTTAGCATCCTAGCTATGCAAAATGCCTATATACTGTTTGTCGGCTGTCCTGAACAGTTGAAACTGCTCTCACTGCAAACCTATTTCCTTCTGCAGTTTTCAAGCTACAGAATTGAGACGCATACCATTTGATTTGCAAAGAAATGATCTAGAGATTGGTTGTAGCTTTTTTAAATTTTGTATTAGTTTTGAAAAGATTTTGAAAAAAGGGGCAGGGGGAAAAATATAAAAAAAATTACAAAAAATGCCCCCCCCCCTACCCACAAAGATGATATTTTCAAAAAGGCTACAACCAATTGCTAGATGTGGTCTCTACACATTGAATGATATTTGTCTCAGTAATGTAGCTTGAAAATCCTAGGAGATGGATTTCTACAGTACCTGTTTTTTAGGCATTTTCTATGAATTTTGTGTTTGCTTTCATTTTTTTCAATTTACACAACAAAATAAGCTATTAATTTCTGTTTTACACATGTGTACCAAGTTTCAAAGTGATCCATCTGTAAATAAAAAAGTTTTTTTTTAAACTGATGCTCCCCTCAAAGTGCAGTCAGAAAAATTCAGTCATTGTATAGACTTTTTTTAGAGACATGGGAAAACTGATAATCATCCAGAGACTTAATTGTGCCCAGGTTCCAAGTCCAGGATTGACATAACTGCAAAAATACATCTTCCAGGCATCCTACCAAAATATTCATTTGGTCAAAAATGCCTCCTCACGTGTTCTATGAGATGGCTTTTTAAAAAGTTAGTCATTGCTTAGATTTACGGTATCTTTTAAATGTAGACAAAACATATAAAATAAAATAAAATGCATTTTCCAAGCATCCAACAAGAAATTTGTGGAGAAAAAACCTTCCTCAGAGGTTTTTTAACAGATGCTGTTGTAGACTAGTCATCACTTGGACTATTTTTTTAGAAAATTGAAAAAATTGCAGACGTCTGTCACATTCAAAATTGAAGTCCAGGAGTGACACAACCATAAAAAATACATGGTCCATGCATACTGTATGAATATCTATTTAGGCATTCAAGCTTATCCAGATGCTTTCTATAAGATATCATTGCAAAATTAAGTCATCACTTGGACTTTTTTTACAAATAGAAAAACTCCAATACTTGCCCAGAATTGAAGTCTTGAGCAAAATCAAAGTCCAAGCTAGCATGGTAGCATGGAAGCTATCATGGGTCAGGTTAGCTTAAGATAGGTTAGGTTAGCTTAAGATAGGTTAGGTTAGCTTAAGATAGGTTAGGTTATGATAGATTAAGTTAAATTGGCTTAGATTCTTAGATTAGGTCAAGTTAGGTTGGGTCAAGTCAGGTTGGGTCAAGTCAGGTTGGTCAAGGGTCAAGTCAGGTTGGGTCAAGTTAGGTTAGGTCAAGTTAGGTTAGGTCAAGTTAGGTTAGGTCAAGTTAGGTTAGGTCAAGTTAGGTTAGGTCAAGTCAGGTTGGGTCAAGTCAGGTTGGGTCAAGTCAGGTTGGGTCAAGTCAGGTTGGGTCAAGTCAGGTTGGGTCAAGTCAGGTTGGGTCAAGTCAGGTTGGGTTAAGTCAGGTTGGGTTAAGTCAGGTTGGGTTAAGTCAGGTTGGGTCAAGTCAGGTTGGTCAAGGGTCAAGTCAGGTTGGGTCAAGTTAGGTTGGGTCAAGTTAGGTTGGGTCAAGTCAGGTTGGGTCAAGTCAAGTTGGGTCAAGTCAGGTTGGGTCAAGTCAGGTTGGGTCAAGTCAGGTTGGGTCAAGTCAGGTTGGGTCAAGTCAGGTTGGGTCAAGTCAGGTTAGGTCAAGTCAGGTTGGGTCAAGTCAGGTTGGTCAAGGGTCAAGTCAGGTTGGGTCAAGTTAGGTTGGGTCAAGTTAGGTTGGGTCAAGTTAGGTTGGGTCAAGTTAGGTTGGGTCAAGTTAGGTTGGGTCAAGTCAGGTTGGGTCAAGTCAGGTTGGGTCAAGTCAGGTTGGGTCAAGTCAGGTTGGGTCAAGTTAGGTTATGTTAGGTTAGCTTAGTTCAGGTTAGGCTAGGTTGCTAGTTAGGTTAGTGTAGGTTGGCCTAGGTTGGGTTATTTTGATTTTTTTAGATATTTTTTATGTTTATTATGAGCTAATGATTTTGTTTGATAAAAAAGTGTGCATAGTTAATTAGATTTTATTACTGACTTAGATTGGTACAGGTGAGTTAATTATTTCAAAATGAGATTGTTCGGAATCATTTTTGCTAGTAAAGATTCATATGCTTGTAGTTTGAATTTATATTTTGTACTTTCATTGGTTATTCACATTTTAGTTTGATTACTACTTAATAACAAGGAGAGTATTATAAATGTGTGATTTCTTTTGATAATACATGGCGGATGTTTTTGCGATATATTATTTGATTTTGGGGTCTTATAGATGTAAGTTTTTAGGTTACATATGTTTGTGGCATTGTGTTGTGATAGATATATATGTGTGGGCATGTAATTTATATTAGTGTTTTGATATGATAGTTATATTGTGTGTTTTGAATGTATTGAATTTATTGAATTATATAGTATTTTGTAACTAATGCAAATGGGGTAAATGTGTGTGTCAGTGGTTTCTGGTTAGCAAGCTCTGGCCTCCTATATATGCCTATCAATTTATGAATGAATGCTCATAGAGGCATTAAATTGTCAGTTTGTTCAGTAAGCACCAATTCAAATGATTAGTTAAATTGAGAGCTGTATCACTTTCTAGGACTTTCTGGAACATTACTGTAGATGTTAATATATGAGTGCCGGAAGCAGCCATACGACTGTTGTCACATGACAAGCACAAAAATTTATCAAAACAAGTACAAAATCAAGATGAGAGCTCTTATGTGGCCTTGTGAGGTGCAATATTGCTTATGTATCATGGTTGCAGTGGTACAGTGCTGTGTCCTTGAGTTAAAGATCAAAAAACTTTTTTGTGCAAAGGAACCTAACTTTTCAGGTTAGCAAGTTTCCTGTATCCTGCAGCATTCCTTGTGTGCAAGTTAGGCTTGTAGAAGAAGAATTTAGTTTCTAAAATGGCTTCTACAAGCCTTGATAGCAATACAGATTTTTCACGTGTCCTCCCCCATGCAGTGGACTTACCTTTCTTGATGACAACTTGAGCTCTCAAGTTCCTTCTCCCAAGCCAGCTGAACTTGGCCTCTTCTTTCCTGGTATCAAGTGTTAATTTTGTTGTTAATGCTGAACAGGATCTAAGTTGACCAATTGTGAGTTATTGTTCAAAATGAACCTATTTTATATAAAAATTCATTAGTATTGAACGGATCATCAGATTATTCTTACTACAATGACCCTTACAGTCTGTGAGACCATTGAAGCTTTTCAAAATTTGTAATGGAATGTTGAAGATTTTTAAACCATGATAATGTTCAAGATTTGTCAATGATATATCATTATTTCATTGTACAAGTTTTTGATTTTTGCACTGTTTCTTGCTAGATATAACTTTCTTCATTGTCCTTGTCTTGGCATTATCTCTTATTCTTGGCTAAGAAATTTTAGTCCAAGCTAGCATGGAATTGACCTTCCACTTGGAGATAGGCAAAATGGGATACATTCAAGGCAATTTTTCTTAGCTAAAACAAAAGCCGCAGGTTCCAAGCTTTGCACACATGTTGGCCGCAATCACATGCCTTTTTTTAAACTCATTAGGCCAGGTAGCTGGCCAGAGGGCAGTTGCCTGGCCTTTTTGCCATCATGGGTGCCCCCTATTAATATCTATCGCTCCTCCAAGGGGGCAGGTGGTGTTGGGTGTAAATAGATATTTGATCCAACTGCAAAAAAAGTTATTTAATCCATATATGATAGTGTTTAATTCATGAATTGTGGTATGAATTGTTGCAAAAATTTCTAATGTGTAAAGGCATCGAGAGTTTGCATGTCTGTAGGAATAAAATTGTGGGACGAAACTAAACATTTAACATGCAATTGGATGCAAGAGATTGACTTTGCACCAGATAAGGCTGCTTAGGGTTTTAGGATTCCAGGGTTTTTTTGCCAGTTATTGCTCTCTTGAATTACCAGTGAGAATCATGCTGGGGAAAGGTACAACGGTGACTTCAGATTACATATGGATATATTTTTGTGATCGATTATTGTGAAGATATTAATAGGAATATAAATTAAAACGGTTATTCGAAATAATTAACCAGCTTTTTGTCTCCTGTAGTGATAGTATGACATTTCCGCAACATGCTAAGGTTATGAAAGATTAGAATAGGTTAGGTTAGATTAGGCTAGTTTAGCATAGGTTAGGTTAGGTTGGCTTAAGGTATTTTAGGCTAGGTCTAGTTCAGTTATGTTAGGTTAGGTTGTGTTATAATAAGGTTTGTGTATACAGGTGATAATGTAATTTATATTAATGAGAATTAGTTGTTGTTGCCAACTTGTTGGTTGTTTGTGTTTTTTTTTGTGTAAAGGTGTGTTTTATTGGAATACTTGCTGGTGTTTATGTATGTTCTGGATTTATGAGGTTTGTGCATGGAGTTCAATGGGGAGATTTTGCGCAAATATGTATGGATTGTTTTGAGATATGCGCGGGCATGTAATCATACTTGTGGGTTGTTGTTAGGTAGTTGTATGTTTTCAAATAGTGTTTATATGTATATTGTATTGAATTGAATGTGATCAATTATATAGTGTATATAAATAAAGGTCGGAATAAATAGATATGTCGGTGGTTTCTGGTTTTTAGTAAACACTACAAACCAGAAACCACTAGGCATTGTATAAGTGCTAACATTTTCTTTTATCATCAGTAAAATCTGATGCTACTTAATTTGATCATTCTAATCTTTTTACAGAATCAGATATTTATTGAATGTGTTCATCGTGAATTTCTATGTGGATAAGATGTTAAACTCAGTAAAGAATATACTTCATCCAAAGCGCAAGGATGAGCTTGACGCGGAGTACAAGCGTTTGTTTATGGACTTGATGGAACAGGTATGGTCTAGGATACCATGTATCGACCTGGGCATTGGCGGTCATCTCAGTCCCTATTGGCGACATAAAATAGAGAAACTTCCACGGGAGATTCGGCAAGAAATTGTCAATAGAAAATCCAATGGATGCTCTCCACTGTTTGAGGCGTGCAGACGAGGTCTTGCTGAGGTTGTTGAATATCTATGCAGTACTTGCGGGGCAGATGTGGAACAGAAGGGCCTCTATGCAGTTGACAACGAAAAGTTAGATCACGTTGTGACTCCTCTCTGGTGCGCTGCAGTCGCTGGGCACGAGAACGTAGTTAAAATTCTCATCAAGCACGGCGCAAACGTGAACAGCGTATCAGACACTGGCTCAACTCCAATTCGCAGCGCGTGCTACATGAGTCACATTAAGATCGTCCAATATTTGGTTGCGTCTGGTGCTGACATCCTCAAGCCTAACTTCAATGGCGGTACTTGTCTGATAAACTCGGTTCAAAGCGCTGAACTGTGCCAGTTTTTGCTTGATCATGGAGCTGACATTAATGCTCAAGATATCAAGAATAAAACAGCCTTGCATTACGCTGTAGAAGAGAACAGGTTTGAAACTGTGAAGCTGCTCATTGAACATGGAGCGGATCCCTTCCTAAGAAGTCGCATGGGCGACGACGCTCTACAAACTGCGTGCCTGAAAGGTGCACACCAGGTTCTCTCTTATATGGTCAAGAAGCTAAGTATTCCTAAGGGTCGTATTGCTGACTGTTACGAATTAATGGGATCAACTTTCCTGGATGACCGTAATGATATTCATGTAGCTATTATGTACTGGCGTAGAGCGGTCTTTCTTAGAAAGTCCGCTGGAGTTGTGAAAATAGTTGATGCTCCTTGTAGCACTTTTGACTGGGCACAGGAGTTCATCAGCGAAGAAGATCTGGACAGCATCATAGTGGATCTAGATGCCATCAGAATACAGAGCTTGCTGATATGCATGCGCGTGCTGGGACGTGCTCACAAGGATACAATTTATCGGCTAACAATTCGGGGAGCCGCCTACGCTGATTCTCATCAGTTCCAACGGTGCATCCGGCTGTGGCTTCTGGCGTTGGAGATAAGAATACTCAAGGATTCAATTCTGTCCATTGATGTGTACTCAAATTCTCATGCTTTTGTGAAATTGTTACTCGACATGATGCGTTTCCCTCCCGAAGAAATGAAGCAGATCGTATTATTTGACGACGTTTTCCGGGTTTTAAAACTGATTGGTGATGAGCTTGAGTCAAACATGGGCCTTTTGAACATACAACCTGTAAGTATACATCAGCAGAACACTTACGACCAAACCCTGATCGTGTTCCTATACCTTCTCTACGTCACGCTGCGTATTGAGCCAACATTTGAACAAATGCGGTCGTTGACTTCGCACTTGAGTAAAATTGTTCAGCTAAATCCCGTGTCTGTTCAAGGCAAAATGACTCTACTGCACATGAGCGTTACCATGAGCTCCCTGATAGCCCCGCCTACGCCAAGTTCGTACCCCACATCCCGCAACACCTGCTATTTCCCCGACTTGAAGGTGGCCTCCCTTCTGCTCGACTGCGGCGCTCAAGTAAACGCTCGTTCAACAGGCGGGTGTTCACCTCTCTACCTAGCGTCTTCAGGTCACCACTACCGCAAGGAGGTAAACACTCTCAAAAACTCTCTCGCCAAATTAGGGAACCTCCTCATTCACAGCATTGTTTACTAACTAACTTTATTTCAGTTGCACACAATCCTTCTCCAGCATTTGTCTTTTTAACTTGATGCTGCCAACTCGCAGGCAATCACTTATAGATAAGCGCTTTTACTATTAAACTCTATTCAGCCGAAGTCTGTTAGTCCGATCATGCCTTTGAATGATTCCAATTTAGAGTTGAATTTTTAATCTGACGTTGAATATGCTGCCTATTGTATTCCAGTATGTATTTGTTTTATCTTTTGCCAATATTAAACGTAATTCTGTATTTGCAGATAGTTGAGATGCTGCTGATACGAGGCGCTCATATGGACCAAGCGACCACCGGGTTTGACCACGCTGGCCTTGTGCTGGCGCGTAACAGTGCTGCCCTGCTTGACAAGCTGCTGGTGCCGGTGCCTTCACTCAAATGTTTAGCAGCCCGCGCCATCCGTCGTAGCCACTACTACCCAGTGATGTCTGGCGCCCTGCCTCAACACCTCTACAGCTTCATCGACCTCCACTAAACAGCACGAGCTTTAGCTCGTCTTCAATTTTGTTCACGTTAAAGGAGGTAAAATCACTTCCTTACCGTAGGGCGCTTCCACAGAGTAAATTGCGCATTAAGCCCCAAATTTACCTACTTTTTCATTTGATTTAGCCACCAAGACAGTAGAAACGTCCAAAAGCGTCGCTAATAAACAATCTGTGTTACAGCATTTAATGCTAAAGTGAGGTGGAAATTTTTTTTGGCTTGTAGGAGAAATTTCACATTGAATTCGTCACCATTTCATGAGATTTTGTTTCGTCAACGATTTATTGCCGTAATTTAACCGCAGTTTGATTATTACCCAGCATTTGTCACCTAAGTCGTTATTATTTCTTGAAATCTGAATGGGTTACAGCCCTTAATAAAATCACAGAGAAGAGTTTTATAGATCTCTTCTAATGAATTTACTGGTACGTCGCCTTCTTTGGAGTAAATCCCGAGTGCGAATAATTTAGCTCATTGTTTCTGATATTTTTACTGTTTTGTGAAAGATTTTATGCATGAATTTAGATAATTTTAGCTGCCACTTGATGGTTATCCACCAATTTGGTTGAAAGTAATTGTTTCTATATTAGATAAATTTATTTGTCTTTTGGTTGCTATATGTGAGTAATGATTTGGAGGCACTGGAGTCGGATTTTCAGTGGCATCCACCTTGCTCCTGATGAGGCTGTGCCTGCAAGTATTGGCGGCCAACTTATGTACGCCAAATTTACTGAATTAAAATCTTTTGATAAGTTAAAGTGTTGGATCAAAACAAGTCTATTCATGAGATCGTGCGGTCCTAGTCATTATGACGACATAAGTTAATTTTCGAAGGAAATTACGAATTGTACTGAGCATAATAGAATGTGATAATTAGATCTATCGCTGCCAAGCGAAAAAGTGATGATATTGTTACTAGCAATACATTTTGTCCATTTAACAACGTACCGACATGACTGCTCAACTTCTCTATTATACCATTTTTTGGGGCTTCTCTTGAAATATATCGGCATTATATTATAGTCTTCCGTGTGCCTTAATTCTAAATCCGAATAATATACTTATATACCTCCTAAATAATTGGATATAATACTTGCTTTTTATCATTGGGCTTTTTCTTGATTGTGTGTCTTTTTCATGTGTTTTTTGTGATTGTTCTTACTTGCGCCTGCGGGCTATTCACGCAGGGGTCTATAAGCGTAGACGTGTTGCAGGAAGGGCAAGCGAAGAGATGATGAGTGAACTAAGTAAGGTTTTCGCACTCTGGGCATCTGACCGTCGGTGTTCGCCCCCACACACATAACTTGAAAGACGCCAGCAAACTTTAGTGACCCGACCGACCGAGCGTGTGTGTAGAGGTTAGGGGGGTTACAGAAGGACTGCCATGTAAAGCATCGCAACGGTGTCTTTTTAATCTTAGTCTACGGTCTTAGTGTCTTCTTCTTACTTAATCGCTTTGCCTCTTCATGGGAGCTGGGGGGCATGATTCCATTCTCCCTAAGATATATTACGTGGCCAAAACGCGACAGGAGACCAGCTTCCGTGGATCTACCGCGGAGAGAAGCGAAAAATGCCGGGCAAGACCAATGCTTAGCATGCCGGCCGTCCTGTTGCCGTTCGGGCGTTGCCTTTACCATGAGGAAGAAGGAGTAATGAGTGTTTCAAGTGGCTCCCAGGATTTAGAATTTCATCCAGCGAAATATAGCCGTTGTTAATGTGGTGTTGGGACGCATGCAGGATTGATGGATGTCCAGAGTGAAGAGCTTGACAGAGACTATCCCGGCGCCAGAGCCACCTTATTGGCGGCGGTCCAAGAGGAGCTCTGCCAGGCCTTCCTTCTCTGCGTCCAGCCTCGGGGAGGAGATGAAGATGGCGAGGGCGTATGAGGCGATGTTAGGCGGCACTGTGTGATCGGGACTTTCCCTTGGGCTGGGTCTTATCTGCTCATTTTTTACGTTTTTTTTCTTATAATTTTCTGTAAAATATTTCCTCTCACCGCCGTTAAGTAATTTGTTTATGTGTTCTAACGAGTTATAAGTTTCACAATTAACCGCAAATTTTGTCACTTGTTGTTTGCTGGCATCGTCCTTGTGATCATTAAATGTACTATGTTATTTAGTTAGCAAGTATTGATCGATTTTCTATTCACGTGTATTTTAGTTTAACTTGATGCCGAGCTTAGCTTGAGCTGTGACGGTCAATTGGTGTGCTGCGTTCCTGATAGTTGCGTGGGTGTCACTACTGCGTGCCCTAGGGTTTGTTATTAGTTACAATTCGGATGGAAAGTGCAATTGTAGGTAAATAGTTAGAAATTTAAGCTCCAAAAAACATAAATCTGTCTAAAATTGAGGCTTTAACGAACTCTGTTTTTATGCTTTCCCTATATTTGTGAATCTCATTTCTTTGGTACAGTTCGTTTCGTGTATTCCCAGATGTTTGATGTGCATTATTGTTTAGCATAATATCCTAGATATAGTACTTGTTTTAACTTTACGTATTATTTTTTTTTTCTGGTGGTGCCCGAATTGTGGTACGCGAGAGCTTTTAATTTAAGACTTTTTATAAATAGCGGTGCACTTTTGCCTTCATGGTAACAGGACCAATCAGTGCTATACGTCGGCTCTCAGCTCGCACTTTGAGATAAAAAGTGTGTCACTAGATGGGCGATATGAGAGAGGTTTTATTGATGGTTCTGCTTACACAGAAAGTTTGGGAACCACTGTTGCATGCAAAACACGTATTTTACGAGTTTTATTTGGGAGTCACCAAATCCCTTTTGAGTGTGAAGAGTTTGCGTGTTTACCATTTCGCATAGAGGTTTTCCTTGATCTGCTTTAACCGTAGAGATTTTCTCCCTATTATGGGCCGCTTCGTACTGACTTTAAAACTTAGTTATCATAACTTGTCCAAATGTTGCAATCCTCAGTGTATTGACTATATTCAAAAGCCTTGAAATATAAAGTTAGCTTTTTGTTACTCGTTTTTTTTGCCGGAAACAGGGTTCTAGAAAAAACTTTTATGAAATATTTGTTGTTTTAAACAAATCGATAATTGCCAAATAAATATGAAATCACCATGAAGTACGATACGTTTCCTAATACCGTGCAATCTATAGTCGTTGAAATATTGAACATTAGTGCCTGTTGTATCCCAGTAAAAAGAAGTAGAGTTTTCTTGACATCCCTCTAAATACAGTCGAAGAATTGGTGTTGACCGTATTTGTGCCAAACGTAAATTCGTCTATGCATTGGGGGTACAACTTTACAATAATAGCAAAACGACAAAAAACTAGTATTTGAATTTTGCAGTGTCGAGTTTCTCCATCAATCCCCATCTTGGGAGAATTATTCAATTTTGCGCCAGTAGAGCGCTTAAGCTCGCAAGGGGCAGATGTCTATTCAGCGTACGCAGTATTTATTTTTCACGGCGATCAATGAACTTGTGGAAATAGTCTGCCAGAGTCGGACTCGGTCGTCAAAACGCTCTCTGTAAACTGCTTCAAGAGCGGGTCCGACAGTTTCTGGAAGGACAACACAGCCCATCATCACGATCATGCTACGAATAATATATTTCCGAACAGCTTTGAACAGACGCTGTAAGTCACGCGTGTGCACACTGTGCAGTTTGTAGTGCTGATAAAATTTCTTGACCGATTGACCCGGACCCGGACCCGGATTGACCCGGACCCGGACTGATCCGCCGGAACAAAAAACCCGCTCACAAAAAATAATCAGCTGCAAATCATCTGAAACGTCGAGAAACTTGAAAATTTACATGGCAAATTCCAAATTTACTTAGAAAATTTTCGTATGTCTAGCACATGAGGGTCTCAGAAAAGTAAAAAATTTTCGATCGAACAATTCGATATCTTGCCCTATCATTCTATCAATAAAATCACGGCACTTGGAGTTGGAGCGATGGTCGTCAGACGTCAGCCCTCACGGCCGTGCAGGCCCGGCCCGTGCTCAGGCCTCAGGGTAGGCTATCAGTTATACACCATTTGACAAGTGTGTGGAGCCTCAAGTGGAGGTGTTGTTTAGCTTTACTTTGACCCATAGTGGCAAAGCAGAGAGTTTTTTAGACTCTCCCTCAAGTTCATTTTTGAGTCCTATTGGTAGACAAGTAAAGTATCCTGGATACCAGCATTATCATACTTAAGAAATTGGTTTAAATCTTGAGTAAATGAGGAAATTAAAAATGAACTGATTCTAAAAAAGCCCTGGTTTGCCACTATGCTTTGACCGAAGCAATCAAATTGTTATCTAAATATCTTATTAATAGTATTTTTACTCTTCTAAGACCATTTACCTTGTGCAATAAAACATGTAAGTAACTGCAACTGCAATTACTGCATCATACTCAATACTCATTGTGAGACTAAGTGAGTTATAATGTGTTTAAAAAATTAAAAAAAAATCAATCATAGCTGGGAGTGAAGAGGATAAATGAAAAAATAAGGGTCATTTATGGTAGGTATGTGCACAAAAATTTTTTTTCCTTTTATCGTAATGAAAATTACACCACTGAAAAGAGAAAAAAATTTAGAAAAATATCATATAAGTATGAGTGAAGTAGGTCGAAAAATGAAAAAGATATGAATTTTTTCCTATTTTCTATTTCACCCCAAAAATGGACCAACTTCTGTCACTTTTTTTTGGAAAAACTATCATTTGTAGGTTTCCTATGAGCCAATTTCAAAGTTTTTAGTACCATTGGAAAGCTCATGTTGTAGGCTATCTATTCTAACCAGATCAGCCGCTAAACTTTTTTTTCTTTTTTTTTCTTTTTCTCTCTTCTTCTTCTTGCCACACATTTCCTACGACACACAGCAATCCCCCAATTGTGGCCTTTTCCTGTGTGTATCATTAGTGTTTAAAACAATCTTACATTAGTTTTACCTAGCCAAAAAACCCTAACATAACCTAACCGAACTGAACACAGCCTGACATATCCTAACCTGTCCTAACCTAGTCTTACCTCACTTAACCTTACTTCACCTAACCGTACCTTGCCTAACCTTACCTAACCCAACACAACCTAACCTAACGTAACCTATCCTAACCTAGTCTAACCTAACCTGAACTAACTTTGCCGTACCCTAATCAACCCTAACTTAACCACCCTATGTGATTGTCGCCATAGTGATAGGAACTTGTTCCTGGCTTGAACCTAACCTCAGCAAATGACGTATATTTTACGACATGTTTAATTTCCTATCTGTTCTTTTTCGATTCCGTGCATGATTGTGGCCGGAGTTCGCATTTCCAACACACACTGAACGTGTTGGAAATGCGAACTCCGGCCTAAATACTCCAAACATCAATAACCTGGGTGTCGGTTTTCTTCTATCAAAGTAAACAGTGCAAAAAGTTTAAATACCTAGTCGATGGTTGCAAAAAAACACAGTTAAAAGACATTGAAAAAGCAAAAAATCGCAGTTAAGAATAATCCCCTACGAAAAATCTGTATTGGACGCAGTGGTGGACTTCAATTTAGTATAAATATATAAATTTAATATGGAAGCTAGGATCATGAAACAGGGTCCAAATTAAAGGCAAAGACTTTTTCTTTATTGTTAGGGTTGTTGAAAAAATATACAAAATTTTTCCGTAGAGTTGTGAAGAGAAAAGTGAAAAAGTTGGTAAAAAGTTGATCAAAGTTGATCAAAGTTTTGCTCACAACTTTGTGTGTTTTGAACTTTTTCAAAATCCGTTTTCACCAGTGTGTTTGTCTCAACAAGACGCATCTTTTTCCCGCTTCTACTATGGCAAAAATGTTTACGGTTTGGCCGCGAGAGTTGAAAAACCACCGAAAAATGGCCGAAAACAATTTTTTCAGGGTCAACTTTGACCCCCAATTTAGGGATGAAGTTTTGACCCGACAAAAAATCGTTCGAAATCCCAAACACATTCCAATCCTTTACCTTTCGTTTGAAATGAACCGCATTGCTCCGAGTTTGCAACTTTTCGAGCTATGATCGGTTCCGATTTCTCATTTTAGGTAATTTTTTGACCAAATTTTCCCCTTTTTGGGGGATTTTGGGGGGGAAGGAGTGGGAATTTCAGAAATCCGACAAGAACGTTTGGTAGAAAAAATATGCGTACGTGCCTGTGCCAATTTTCATGAGATTCTAACGGTTGAGCTCCTGGGAAAAATGGCTCGAGTGAAAACTTTGACCTCAAACCCCCCTGTACGTGATTATACAGCAGCAGCATATCAAAAGTGGAGAGTATAAGTTTAGCGTCCGCTTTGCTGGCTGTAGGCACACAGAAAGTGAGCCGCTCCTGCCGAACCAGGATGGAATTCTAAAATTTACAGTTCATATATTATTTTTGCTACACCTAGACCAGTTTTTCGATACAACATTATTTGAGGCAAAAAAATAAACTTCTTATAGGCTTAAACACGTATAGGTAAAGGTATAAAAAGTTTCTATAAAGTAATCACTTCACTTGGAAATGTTGTGTGTCTGCAGGGCAGCTTGCACTCAACAATTAAAATTATAAAAAGTAATAGTTCGTTAAAGATTTGTCTCTTAATGTGACAGCAAAGAACTTTTCCATGATACACACACTAAACACGCAATTCATGGGAGCGAGACTACATATAGAGCAACGAAAGCAGGCTCCCGGCATGCAACTGACAGAAACGAATGATAATCGCGGATGCGGCAGCATGAGGCATAACGTTCACATGCTCAATGCAAGAGAATGATTAATTATGATATTTTTGATAGAGGTTTGAAATATTTTTGGAAGCCTAAAACGTGAACAAATTATTTCGTTACTCTGACATGGTTGATTTCAAAATGAATATTTTAATGCCAATTCATGAGAAGCAATTAAAATATATTGAATGATGTTCATTTTATCTATAGGTTGAAGTAAACAATTATGAATCAATTTATTATCCTTTAAATAAGAATCCTTGCATTGAAACATCTTTATGATGTGTCTACCACAATATTTGTACAATAGTATGGGTATCTAGAGTCAAAGCCGTTAACCGATCATTAAATGGCAGCCGCAAATATGTAGCATCGTTCTACCTATTAGGCTATTACGGTCAATAGAACCTAAATAAACTCATCTGAAATTTCGAGAGCATGCTCTAAAAACTATAATCTTGATTTCAAATTATCTTTCATTAATTTCAAAATACGATATCCATGTTTATTTCCTGCCCAAATGTTACCTCTTGCACATCCCAGCTAAGCAGGTACTTGATAGACATTAAAAAAAAAAAAAAATGATGTCGTCATAGTTCAAGTTTTTTTAGTTCGTTTCCAAACAAAAAACAATCAAATTAAGCTAACATTTTGGCGGGACTTTCAAAATTAAATACCTTACGCGCGCCGATGCGGAAAGTGGCTGTCCACCATTTTGCCAGCATTGTTTACATTCAAGCGTACTTTGTGCACATACCTATTTATGGCCATGTTCTCAAACATTGGGCTAAATATCATCATTTTTTCTACTGTCTAGATTAGACAATGTTTATTAGGCAAAGTGGCAAACTATCAATTTTTTTGAATCAATTCAGTTTAAATTTCCTCATTTATTTGAGATTTGAACCAATATCTTATGTATGATGATGCTGGTAGCCTGGTATCCATGATAGGTTTGCTGGTCTACTTATAGGACTCAAATTGAACTTGGAAGAGTCTAAAAACCTCTCTGCTTTGCCACTATGTTAGCCTATTAGGTAAGGGAGTAGGCTTACAGATGAATTTCAAGCAAGGCTCTGCCAAGTCTGCCCAGTGCCCACTGCCCAGTTACCAGCCATTGTTGTGCTGAAAATGAAACTTAAAAGATGTTCCTATAATGTATATGTGTGCCTTTTGGATTGTTCTGGCATCCTAATGAAAAACAAAGAGGTTCAGGAAAAAATCAAGTTGTCCCTATCCCTAATTTCTATTGCATAAATATTTATGAGAAAAATCTATTATTGTCATTTGTCAGACTGTCAGAGAAATGTTTCTTTATAATTTTCCCATGCCTCTTTGCAGCCTGCAGGTAGGCTTGATCATTAGGTTTGGTTCCAACAATGGCTCAGGGTTTAAGTAAATTTTTACAGAATCAAAATGACACCAAGATATTTTGTCTCACATCTTGTACATCATTACTTATTTGGCTGAACTCGGCACTTTGGCTGAAATCTAGGTAAGTGAAGCATGCAAAACTGCAATTTCCATCTTGCATGAAATTTGGGTTTCAGAAGCTGTTAGCTACTTGAATGCAGTACATCATTTTCTCGGACAAAGTTTACAAAACCATAAAAAATTATATCCAGTTCAATGAAACGAAGTTTGCCAATTTAATATATTTCTGGCTTGGTCTGTTTCAAGTGTTGGTTCAATTTGATATTGTTGTTACTAAAATTGAATAGGAAGACTTGACAGTGCATATATATCTATCTATCTGAAGGAATTATTTAGGTTAACCTGTCCTCAAGTTGAAAAAAATATAACTCAGCACTCACTGCAGTAAGTGACAGAGAGTGCATTTTCTTGTCGACAAAAACAAAGTCAGGGTTGGACAGACAGACGGACAGAGACATACAGACGGACGGACAAACGAACATGAAACATGATTTACCTACTACCAAAGCATAAGAATTTATCTTTATCTCATGGTGTAAAATGGCATTTTGTTGTTTGTGATAATGGCACTGATACATCAAGACATTTGCATCAAATTTGCAAGTAAAATATGTCAATTCATTTAATTTATCCATAAGAATGACTTACTGAAAAGATGAGTTGAAATATAGAAAATTTTAAAGAGATGAAATTGTTTATTTTAGACTATACTCCTTGTTTTAAACCTATTTATTTGCATTATTCTGAAGCATATTTTAATCTATCTCGATTTCTTAGATCTAAATCAAAAAAGAAGTTGGAGCTTGTAATTGGTCAAGAAAAGAATGGCACCACAAATAAAATTCAGGTAAGAATAATATCATGAGTAAGTCTTGCTTTCAGTTTCTTTCAATCATCAACTCAATGTTTCATGAATATGCATTCATAATATTTTCATATTCAAGTACTAATGGTGCGTGATTGAAGTGACACAGCTAACTATAAATATTTTACCAAATTTGAAACATATTATATAGTACATTGTAAGTATTGGTATCTTAGAAAAACCCTATTTTATTAACCCTTCTTCTGATGTGCATTTGATAACTTTACTTCTTTATTACAAAACACCATACAAAGTCCCAAAGTAAAATTTGACTAATCTTCTTTCTTGTATTACTGTCAAGTGGGGTGATTTTGGCCACCATGAGTGACTTCGGCCAGCACTGCAACGGAAATGCGTGCCAGCAAAAAAATAAATAAGCGTTTTCCAAAGTGACTGGGGTGACTTTGGCCAACGTTTATTATTCTGTTTTTCTGCCATTTGTTTCTGTTGTAGTGCTGGCTGAGGTCACCCCTGGTAGCTGAAATCACCCTACTTGACGGTAGTCATATGAAGCGTTCAAAAAATTTCAATGGTTCTTATAAAATTACAAAATATCACTGTAGGTGGGCTCATATAACTGTATATTGCCATCTTTTTTCTATGAGAATCTACTGTAAATGAAGAATTTTGTGTTCTCCCTATTTTTAACTTAGAGTTTAGTAATTGGTAAAGAATAAGCTGTCAAATTGGGTGAATGTTGAGTGAAAAATTATATAGTCATGTGGACCATGAAATGGTGGCTTGCTTTTTGTATGAGTGAGGAGTGTTGGGCCTGGTGTCTCACACAAGAAAGTGAGGAGTGTTGGGCTGGTGTCTCAAGCAAGAATGTGAGGAGTGTTGGCCTGGTGTCTCACGCAAGAAAGTGAGGAGTGTTGGCCTGGTGTCTCTTGCAAGAAAGTGAGGAGTGTTGGCCTGGTGTCTCATGCAAGAAAGTGAGGAGTGTTGGCCCTGTCTCTTATANTCACGCAAGAAAGTGAGGAGTGTTGGCCTGGTGTCTCATGCAAGAAAGGCAGAAATTTTGCTCAATTGTTTGTTGGTGGCTATTAAAGAATCTACTTTCTTATCATTACCTTGGTAATTGTAAGAATTTCGATTAGGTATATAAGTACCAATATTTTGGTGGTGGGTAATATGTGTTCCATGAAATAGTTGATGTAAATAAAGTTTGAAAATATTTTGCCTATTACCAAACTAAATTGTTTGAGTCCTTGAAACATTGTTCAGGATCAGGAGCATGGTTTAGAGATTTTAAGGTTAAAATCATGTGTTATGAATGTAGAGCTTTGAAATTTTGAAGTTTCTACAAAAATATAAGAGGCCCATGGAATGTTGTGTCAATGGAAGTAATACTAATCAGTAAAGTGTTGCCTAGTGTCTCCAAATGTCACTTGACACTTAACATGAACCTTTATTGCCATTGCAACTAAATATCAAATTTAAATTATGTTCATTTCCATTCATGTTATGAAATATATGTATGACAAAAAGCATTACAATTAAAAAAAAACATAGCAATCAATAATGATGAAGAATAAAACCCTAGAATACTCTAATAAGAAATACACACAAAACATAAGTAAAGGAATTCTCAACCATCAAAAATCAAGAACCAGCAAAATCAAGAAATGCTGAAAACATTCAGTTGAAAATAATAATTGCTAAACATTCAATTGAAATATTCCAAATGGTTAAACTTTTGGACTATTTCAAACACATCAAAATTTTTATGTATATGACAGTTATTTGGCTCTATGCTAAATTTTCTATTAACATAACATGTAAAAGAATTGATCTTTCTCTTCTGTTGTGTTCAGGTTGATGGGAAATTCTTCAGCTCCCTCCGTAAACTGCTGCGTGTTCTGGTGCCCGGGCCTGTCAGTAAAGAGAGCGGCTACATGGCACTCATTGCGCTCATGCTCGTCTTGAGGAGCATTTGTGACATCTGGATGATCAATAATGGCACCCTCATTGAGAGGTTTGTGAGGCAGCTGCCATTGTCTTGAGCATTTGTGACATCTGGATGATCAATAATGGCACCCTCATTGAGAGGTTTGTGTGGCAGCTGCCATTGTCTTCACAAGTGAATGGCCCTTTCACTGTTATGTACTATGATTGGCTAATTTCTCCTGGTCAGATTTCATTCATTGTGGCTTATACATTCCCCAGCTTGACTTAAACCAGTGATGGAATTTTCTTCTAAATTCAATGAATTTTATTCAAATATCATACCTTCAGTTTTTATTTGTATCTAATTTGCTATCTTTCTGGGATGAAGTGGATTTGTTAAAATATATAGACTACCAAATTTTAATGGCAACAAAAGAGTTTTTTTTAACTGTTCCTCATTGTTATGTTTACCTTACTAAATAAATGTGCTAAACAATAACATGTAATGTGGGAAAAATTGACTGATGAATTTACAGTGAGGTTACTTTTTCACCATTATTACTTTCTAAAAATGTACATTCTACTGAATTAAATATTGAATTTTGAGTTTAGCTCACATATTTTTAAACAATGTTATTTTAGAATGTTGGTCAAATTGAGAATTTTAGTTTGATCTATATTAATTTATTAATGTTGATCTTTTCAGTGCCATCATATCGAAAAACCGCCAGACATTCATCAAGTACTTGGTTGACTTGTTCCTTGCCATGCCTACGGTGAGGAGATAATATGTGAAGTCTTAGGAGACTTATAATTACTTATAAAATACTTATAATTATCTATGGCACTATTTTGTGCAGTCTACTACGTGCCTGGATTAAAGAATCACTTTTCATCTCAACAAAACAGATGTACTTTCTTGCTCCAAATATATTGAATTTGCAACTTGCTTTAGTATTCATTGAGAAGCAATTTTTGTGCATGTTTGTGTTTTTGTTATGTTATTTATCATGTCTAGAAATGAGTTAATTAAAGATAATTTTATAATGCATGTTACTCCTCCCGCCGGACTTGCTTGCAGATTTCTCTGGTCAACAACCTCCTCAAGTTTGGGCTGAGCTCCTTGAAACTGAGATTTCGTGCTCGTCTCTCCAGCCATCTGTACATTAATTACCTCAAGTAATTGTGATCAGTTTTAAAAACCATTATACTCTCTGACAGGTATCTTGAGTTTAAGCTCTCATAAGCTTTCATTGCTCAAAGATTGAAGAAAAACAGTAAACATTAGCAGCAGATTGAAAGTTTTGAGCATAACCAATATTTCCCATAGTTTTTGTACATAGTCCAATGATTTGCAAAGATGCTAGAGTCAAATTGTTTGTTTATATATTATGTGGTGCTTCAATAAATAACACATGCTTCAAAAAATACATGCTTCGATATATTATAAAATATACCAATATATTCACGCTTCAATAAACATAAATATATTGGTATAAATTAAAGATGGTACATTTCAGAGGGTTCACATACTACAAAATGAACAACCTTGACAACCGCATCACCAATGCGGACCAGCTGCTGACGCAAGATGTGGACAAGTTCTGCGACTCAGTTGTGGACTTGTACTCTAACATCAGTAAACCCATCCTCGACATCGCCATTTATGTCCACAAACTCACTCAGACCATCGGGGCCCAGGTACTTGTGGGTGTAAACGCGGAGCAACTTCGTCCGTCATGGTGATGATCTACTGAGTAATATCATATTATCACTATTATCATCGTGCCAGGGAGAACATTTGAAACATAGAGCGTGTACACCGGCTCAATGAGAAACATGACTTACGGTAAGTTAATTAAGGGCCTGAGTACGAGATCTTGTGGTATCCACGATCCCGACAGATGCGTCCCAAACCAAAAGATGGCTTAACAGCCTCACCCTGAGTGTTTTAAGGCTCATGCTATGTCTTAATGCAACGACAGCTTGTTGTTGTAATTGCCCATCCTGGTAGTGGCGACTAGGGAGGGGGGGTGATAGGTGAATTTTTCCGGGCACTCGGTACCACTGGTAGTTCTACGACCATCACTAGCTCGCTGACCCGCCAGAACCATTTGATTGCATTACACAACACCTTGGACAAGCCAGGTACTCGTTTATCAACCAGAGTTGGATGAATGGCTGAGTTGACCATGAGCTGAGCTTCCCGGTAGAACTTGTCCTCAGTGGGACTCAAACCCGGGCACTGGGTGTGAGAGACAGAGTCTCTCACGACAGCTTGGTCGCCCTGACGTGGTGCATGTTGTTGTATAGTACAGTGAAATGCAACACAGTGCCTCAGCTACAGTGAAATGCAACACAGTGCCTCAGCTACAGTGAAATGCAACACAGTGCCTCAGCTACAGTGAAATACAATGAAACTGCCTTCCTTATCCAACCTCAACATCGCCAAGCTAAAACACTAGGCAGGATTCTGTAGGCATTACCATGAGGCAATTTCATATTCAAAAACCCTAGACGTCATTGAAGTGCAACCGTGCATATATCATCCACAAGTACAATAAATTGTTAAAATAATGAACAGTGTGGTTTGTTTGCTTGGGGACTAAAAACATTATTGATGATCTTTAATGTTCTGAAATTTTTTTGTTCAAGCATTGTTTATTCGTGTCCAAAAAGCTGAAAACTATTGAATGTGATTTTGATTTAATTCTTCGCTTATTGTTGTGGATTGGATAATATAGATTGAAAATTGTAAAATTAGGCATATGATGAATCATTCTTATTCACTTCACTCAAATTTTAATCTCTCAAATGTTTCCCTCGATGAACTTGTTGAGTGTCACCAATGTTTTGTGGCTTTCAAGTTGCATCAAACTCAATGCTTATGCCATCTATTTTGAGGCGGTCCGCCTTTACGTTGCCTGCATAATAGCTCAGGCAACCTTGCCTCTAAATTTTCTTACACTGTTAATTCTTGTTTTCTTATTTTTTTTTCTGCTGGCATATCCAGTGTTCTCCGGCTCAGTGCTAACCCTCTTAGGCGACCCTGTGTACTAATTTTCTTGTACTGTAATTCCTGTTTTTTTTCGGCAGGCCCTGGCAGTGATGCTGGCATATCTGGTGTTCTCCGGCTCAGTGCTAACCCTCCTTTGGTTGTTTGGACAGGCCCCTGCAGTGATGCTGGCATACCTAGTGTTCTCCGGCTCAGTGCTAACTCGCCTGCGCCGTCCGTTGTCGCGACTCACGGCGGAGGAGCAGCGGCTGGAGGGCGAGCTGCGCTACGTCAACTCGCGCCTCATCACCAACTGCGAGGAGATCGCCTTCTACAACGGCAACCGCAGGGAGAAGACTACCATTGACGCCGCTCTATCTAGACTTGTAAGATATTTTGAGATTATTCTTGTTCATATTTGAATACCCTAAAAGAGCTGCGTAGATATTTTGAGATTATTTTCGTTCCGCAAAGTTCATTCGTATTTCAAGCTGTGTTTCTTCCTGTACGGTATGCGTTTTCCGCCAGTTGAATAGTTTTACCAACGTTCTTCTTATCTTATGCACTCCAAGAAGTTACTTTGATAATGAGTGATTAATGCTATGAACTTTCATGAAGGTTAATATATAATTTTCAATTCATTACTTGTGAAATACTTTATTAAGATAGCGAATTTTGTTGCACCATCTTTTCAAACGCAAATATTCTTGAAACTTGGCAGATCGAGCATCTGCAGAGTGCAATCAGCTTCCGTTTCACCATGGGGTTTGTAGACAACATTATTGCGAAGTGTGAGTTTTTAACGCCATTTTGAAAATATTTTGTTACTAATTAATCAACAATAAATCTTCATCACAGCACGTTGCATTATAGTAATGTTCCATACCTAATTCTAGTACGTGTATCTGATGATTTGTCTTTATTGAAGTTTTTGTTTACGTTTTTCTGATGAAATAATTTGTCTTTATTGAAGTTTTTGTTTACGTGTTTCTGATGTAATAATTTGTCTTATTGAAGTTTTTGTTCGTGCAGACATGGCGACGTGCGTGGGATTCTGTGTTGTTTCTTACCCTTACCTGGTGAACTCCAGTCTCTCACAGGGCGACCACAAGCACAGGATGGAGGTTGGTTTATATTAAATGCGTTTTATTGTTGTATACTACTTAACATTTTAGTCCAATTGGTTTATATCAAATTTGTTTTATTGTTGTACACTACTTAACAATTTAGTCTAATTTGTCCGCTTAATGCCGCCTAATTAATTTCCCTACAAGCGCCTTAGGATACATGTGTATCTGAAGAATACTTTATAGGGTAACAAAGCAACCAAAGGCTACAAAACTACAGTGCTATAAGTTTATTTAGTTTTGACGTATTCGTAAACTGCTATTTTAATATTGGACTTGGCTCAGGATGATGTTGCCGCAACCAACACAAGCGTTGTCATCCAAATGAACTTCCCTTTGGTTTTTCTTTTGACTGTACTACTGAAAATGTACAGTTCTACTGCTACTTAGGTAGAGCTAACTTTTTATCTACGTTTATCTATGTTTGGCCACAGTTAACTACTACTTCAAGTAAAGAATTCTATTATCTAAATTTTAACATGTTGGTATTTCTACTACCAGAGCAACAGCACTGGAATGCGTGGCCGCAGTTTAACTAAAACATTAACTTAGTTGCGTCTTATCTAAGTGTTTTCCTGTGTGTAGGTTTACTACAATATTACAGCATGGTTTAAATTAATTATTCATTTACAAAGCTGTGTCTTATGTAAATTTGTACATGTTTGTACCTGTTCCTTATGCAAACGTGTACGTGTTGGTAGTTTTACTACAAGAGCGGCCGCATGCTGGTGAGGCTGGCCCAGGCTGTGGGCCGCGTGGTGCTGGCAGGGCGTGACCTCACAAAACTTGCGGGGTACACGGCGCGTGTAGAGGAGCTGCGCACCGTCCTCGCCGACCTCAACTCCGGCAACTACAGCAGGACCATGGTGGCCCAGGGTCTGTACCTTCTGGGCTCTTGACGGTGGTGGCACCTGTCTCTTATACACATCTAGATGTGTATAAGAGACAGGCACAGGGTCTGTACCTTCAGGGCTCTTGACGATGGTGGCACAAGGTCTGTACCTTCAGGGCTCTTGACGATGGTGGCTCAGGGTCTGTGCCTTCAGGGCTCTTGACGATGGTGGCACAAGGTCTGTACCTTCAGGGCTCTTGACGATGGTGGCACAGGGTCTGTACCTTCAGGGCTCTTGACGGTGGTGGCACAAGGTCTGTACCTTCAGGGCTCTTGACGATGGTGGCACAAGGTCTGTACCTTCAGGGCTCTTGACGGTGGTGGCACAAGGTCTGTACCTTCAGGGCTCTTGACGATGGTGGCCCAGGGTCTGTACCTTCAGGGCTCTTGACGGTGGTGGCACAGGGTCTGTACCTTCAGGGCTCTTGACGATGGTGGCCCAGGGTCTGTACCTTCAGGGCTCTTGACGGTGGTGGCACAGGGTCTGTACCTTCAGGGCTCTTGACGATGGTGGCCCAGGGTCTGTGCCTTCAGGGCTCTTGACGATGGTGGCCCAGGGTCTGTACCTACAGGGCTCTTGACGATGGTGGCCCAGGGTCTGTACCTTCAGGGCTCTTGACGATGGTGGCCCAGGGTCTGTACCTTCAGGGCTCTTGACGATGGTGGCCCAGGGTCTGCCCTCTCTTTTTTTTTATTGAACCGACTTAAACCTCAAACTTTCACGCACATTCTATTTTTTAAGTCCGCATCCTCCAACAAGCATGGTTATCTGATAAGTATCGAGAATGAAAAAGACTTCTCCTTCACGTAAAATGTTTCCTCAAATGTAAGACTAAATTGTTCAGTTACAACACGCAGAGTTTGGGTTTGTGATAGGCTAATGACTTGTTTCATCTTGCACTATTTATATTATTTTTGTCTAAACCATCTATAGGAGTTCTCGACGCTGCGCATCGCGATTACATTAATATTAATTTAATGTGCATATTAATTACATGCACAGTTCATGAAGGCTCATTGTATTGACTTGTGTGCAGGCAGCGTGAGCGGGGCTCTCGTAGGCCGCGGCAGCGTCGTGATAGCGGACAACCTCATCAAGTTTGACCGCGTGCCGCTGGCCACGCCCAACGGCGACGTGCTCATCGACGAGCTCTCCTTCGAGGTGCACTCGGGCGTCAACGTTCTTGTGTGCGGCCCCAACGGCTGCGGCAAGTCCTCCCTCTTCAGGATACTGGGCGAGGTTTGTGCAAACTTGCTTTATTTGGATTCAGCCGGTCATAAAAGAGTTCTATTAAATGATGTAGTTCTAGTCGTGAAGTTTTATAAAGTATTCAATTCTTATAATTTTTTTGCACTTGTTAGTTAGGTTTTCTGTGGTATTTTTACAGTTTTTATTTGTTCACACCTCGTGTACGAAAATCGCTGGTAAATATTGAGCAACTGGACACGGTCCTGGTGATTCAATCCTCGGTAGCCATTGGTTTGATGATTTAGAAATAATTTGTTGTTGGTCATTATTGCTCAAGGAATCTTTGAGTAAATTGGGTAACCCTCATTGCTTCTTAAAGCTCACGGCAAACCGAATTCACTAAAATCATTCTAACGGAACCAGCTTTATTGTGCCAATAATATTGTTGTTATACATCCGCTTTTAATTTTGTTTGTACATCATCCGACGTGATATAGATTACGTTTTAATGAAATGATAGAAAACCTTTTACTACTACTACTGTTCCTATTAAGTACTACTTGTAACAATATTGCTAATTCTACGCTATCAGTACTACATCTACATCATTCTAAGCAGTTTTCTGTTTCAGTTGTGGCCCGTTTTTGGAGGCACCGTGACGAAGCCCAGCGCAGGCAACCTCTTCTACATTCCGCAGCGTCCCTACATGACCATAGGCACTCTCCGCGACCAGGTCAGCATCTCTCATGTTTATTTCGTTTCTTCTTACTTACATCGCAGTCTCTGCACTTCGCTTTTGAGCTGACACTCTGGTATCTTAGTCAAAAATCCTAATTACTTACGACTCGAGAATTTGTTTCTGCCAATTTTTCTGACTTGTAGGGTACATTGCAGTGTTCTTGTGCTACTTGATGCTACGCTCCTCTTCTTTAGTTGTTCGATTCTTCTCGACTTCATTCTACTTGCCTATTTCAGATTCCTATCGTCTCGTCCCGAGTTTAATTAGTATCTCTAATTGGTTACATTTGCCTGTTACCAAATATACATGCCTCTTTACATCTACTTGATGTTTGAGTGCCAGGCATCACTGTAATGTTCAAGTGTCCAGCATCACTGTGATGTTCAAGTGTCCAGCATCACTGTGATGTTCAAGTGTCTAGCACCACTGCGATGTTTGAGCATGACTGTGATGTTTGAGTGTCGCTGTAATGTTCACGTGTCCAGCATCACTGTAATGTTCACGTGTCCAGTATCACTGTACTGTTCACGTGTCCCAGGTGATCTACCCCGACATCGAGAGCGTCGTGCCTGACGACGAGCTGCTGGAGCTGCTGGCGCGCGTGCAACTCACGCACATCGTGGAGCGCGAGGGCGGCTGGGACGCCGTCGCCGACTGGATGGACGTCCTCAGCGGCGGCGAGAAGCAGCGTATCGCTGTCAGTTCATCCTTTGTACCTTTATTATTATTCCTAATCAAATGAAACATTTATAACTGCTCTTCTTAGTCCTTTACAACTAATTTCAACACTTTTCAATGAACCAAACAACCACCAGTTGTTTGTGTGGTACAGATCGCTGGGATAATCGTTTTGTAAATTCCAATCATTCAACTGCTCGTATATAGTAAGGGTTTTTTCATAAGATCGTGAACATTTTCACGTGAACACGACAATGTGATACGGGCAATCCAGCTGCAGATGTTGCGTTCTTACAAGTATTATTAAATGCTAAGACTATAAATATTTTATCTGATCACAAGATTAGGTGATTCTGCCATGACCTTGTTTTGATGACCCTTAACTTACTCTAAATTCTTGTTACTCGAGGGGATTTAAAGCCTTAAGATGATGTACAGCATCAGTTGTTGGGTGTACAGATGATGTACAGCATCAGTTGTTGAGTGTACAAATGATGTACAGCATCAGTTGTTGAGTGTACAAATGATGTACAGCATCAGTTGTTGGGTGCACAGATGATGTACAGCATCAGTTGTTGGGTGCACAGATGATGTACAGCATCAGTTGTTGGGTGTACAGATGATGTACAGCATCAGTTGTTGGGTGTACAGATGATGTACAGCATCAGTTGTTGGGTGTACAGATGACACAGATGATGTACAACATCAGTTGTGCGCACAGATGGCGCGCGTGTTTAGATGATGTACATCAGTTGTTGGGTGCACAGATGATGTACAGCATCAGTTGTTGGGTGCACAGATGATGTACAGCATCAGTTGTTGGGTGCACAGATGATGTACATCAGTTGTTGGGTGTACAGATGATGTACAACATCAGTTGTTGGCACAGATGGCGCGCGTGTTCAGATGATGTACAGCATCAGTTGTGTGCACAGATGGCGCGCGTGTTCAGATGATGTACATCAGTTGTTGGGTGCACAGATGATGTACAGCATCAGTTGTTGGGTGTACAGATGATGTACAGCATCAGTTGTTGAGTGTACAGATGATGTACAGCATCAGTTGTTGGGTGTACAGATGATGTACATCAGTTGTGCGCACAGATGGCGCGCGTGTTCTACCACCGGCCGCAGTTCGCTATCCTGGACGAGTGCACGAGCGCCGTGAGCGTGGACGTGGAGGACGCCATGTACCGCCACTGCAGGCAGCTCGGCATCACGCTCTTCACCGTCAGCCACAGGAAGAGCCTCTGGAAACATCATCAGGTCCGTTAAACTACAGCAATGTCGCTAAACTCTGAAGCTCTGCTACATTGTCACTTTACTATGTAATATTATTCTCCTGTTGTCCGGATTTGTTTACACTCGGGAACGTTTTTAGAACGTTCCCCGGCAACGTTATTAGAACGTTCTAATAACGTTCTCCATAAGATAAAACATCAAGTTGTAAATGAGGAAGCTCACAAAGTTGAAACAAGTAATGCATTCAAACTAGGGCACAATAAATCAGATATTTTGTGCTACGAGGTCATTAACTTGACCGGAAGTTTATTCTATGCTAAGAGAAGGATATAAAAATCACAAGAGATTGCTTATTTCACGTGCAGTATTACTTCCACATGGACGGTCGTGGCTCGTACGAGTTTCGGCCCATCGAAGACGACACGCGCGAGTTTGGCTCCTGAAGAGTTTGGCTCCTGAAGAGTTTGGCTCCTGAAGAGTTTGGCTCTTGAAGAGTTTGGCTCCTGAAGAGTTTGGCTCCTGAAGAGTTTGGCTCCTGAAGAGTTTGGCTCCTGAAGAGTTTAGCTCTTGAAGAGTTTGTCTCCTGAAGAGTTTGGCTCCTGAAGAGTTTGGCTCCTGAAGAGTTTGGCTCCTGGAGAGTTTGGCTCCTGAAGAGCTTTACCCTCGAAGTCGCCTGCTTCTCCTCACTCTGTGATCGTGTCAGGTCTTATTGTGTTGAATGACTAGCTTTATTTAACGCTCTGTGGTCTGATCGTTGGGTTGTTTAATTGAGACTTCCAATATATGGGAAGAAATGTCTCTTCACTTTATTTAGTTCAGTCTTATTAATGTTCACAACACTTGGGTTCTCAACCGCAACGATGTGTAGTGAACTGCTCCGCATTGCTAGTAAATTGGTCGATTTTAATGCCTTCAGGTCCCTTCACCTTGCGAAGCTGTGCTTGGTAAGTTTGAATACAAATTATTGTCACAAGCGATGGATTTTATACAGACCATTAATTAGTTAATTATTCTTCTTTAGCGGTAATTGACTTCTCACATCGATTGCAGCTAATTATTATGGCAACTGTTCCATAAAACGATAATGATGATAATTAGCAAAATAGCACCACTGACATTACGGTAATCATTGGCTGTATTTAAATCCGTTTATTGCAATAAAGCTTTAGTTCAAATTTCTTCCAAATATAATCTAAAATTGTGGCTAACTATTTATATATAGTTTCTTCTATTTATATAGTTTCTATAGTTTCTTTCAGTGTCAGATAGAACGTTATGGCTAAACTTACAATTGACTATTTCTGATTATCGTCTATTTAATTTTAGAATTCAGTGTTCTTCTAAGAATGAAATAACTACGTCAAAATAATGCTTCAGGTTTTGTTTAAAAAAGTGTTGTTTTAAATAAATAGTTTTGCAGCTAAAGAGAAGAAGCTTCGTTGTTAATGAGTTTTAGATGAGCTCGTTAGGAAAGCTCAAATATTATTACTATTTTAAATGGGTAACTGAAATTCTTGTTGTGATAGTATCGCTTTATACAATATGGTGCCATATTTCATTAAGCATTCATGTACCTCATTAAATTGCTAGTATACACCGTGTAAAGTGATGGAAGTTTGTCTCGAAAAAGTGACAGTAAGAATTCGACTGAGCGACGACTCTCTTGGACCCCCCGTTATCATAAAATTTTTGTCATGCATAACATACGTCGTGGTTATTTTAATATTATCTACGTAGGCTCAATCTTAAGGCCCGTTTACACTACGGGACTGATTCGGAAGGATCGAGACTGGACTGAGACCAATAAGCCACATGGCTGGGCCTCAAAACTGGCGTGAGCGTTCAGACTACGCGCATGTGCTGGGATCAAGACTCACGACTATCGCAGTGCTGCCACTCTGCCGCGCGCGACATTTCAGTTACTCGTTTGCCTTTGGAGATGGATCGTGCTAACGAGTAACTTGAAGATTTTGGATTGAAGCCGAAAAAGATGGTTTGAATTCAAAAGTTTTCGGCTATCTATATACCTAATAGCAGTTATGAAACGCAAAACCTAACCACAACCGCGGTGTAAATGAATCCTCGGCACCTGCTCCAGATTTCAGGGTATCTTTCTTACCGTGTCGATGGCCCGGACTGCCTCAGTCTGGACTGAAAAAGCCAGTTTTTCAGTCGTCAGTCGCGCAGAGTCTCGTAGTGTGAACGGGCCTTTACAGTTCTCTGTACAGTTCTACATATAGTTTACAGTTCTCTGTACAGTTCTACGTATAGTTTACAGTTCTCTGTCCATTTCAGCCCTGCATAGTCAAGGCAGCCAAATTAATGACCAATCAGTAACGCTGGCGTTATCACAAATGTATTGAATCTATATGTTGTCTTCGTAATTTTTCACTGAAGAGTGTAATGTGAAATCTACAATAATGATTAACTAAAGGTATCGTGTTCAGATCAACCCCAGAATCAGTTGAATTTATTATATTTTACAGCTGTCATGAGCTCTGATTAGCGATCACGAATTTTATGTTGTAACAATAAGACAACTTATTTAAACTTGTATATTGTTACCGATTATATCTTAGCTAGACCATGTATAACATATACAATTTTACGTTGGGACCTAGGTTCTGTGTTTTATGTTTCAAATATATTTAAGTGTAACTTGGGGCGTACACAATAATTTTTGATGTTTATATACAGGCACACGCCTAAGCGCAAGAGATCTCTTTAACGGACTTAACACGGTGTAGGGGCTTATACTATGAAATTCTTTGATAATGTTATAAGAAATCGTGAATTACTTCTTGGAATTATTATTGTTTAGATTTAGGGTCGATGACCGATCAAAGTTTTTACCTCAGGTTTAGTTAGCGAGTGAGCGGCCGTCCGTGCGTGCCGAGCGCTCTAGTGAAGACATTATTGCCGTAAGGGAGATGATTGCTGTGTTCATGTACACTCTGAGGAATCTGTGGGACTTTGTTCAAATAGCGATACAATTTTTACCCTTCTTTGGGTCCTCCTGATCCAAATTGGCCCAACAGAAGGGGCGCATAGAAACACTTTCTACTCGCTGTAGAAAGTCTTTCACTATTTGGAAGATAGAAAGTCTTTATTAGAAAGTCTTTCACTATTTCACTTTCACTATTTGGACAATGTGACCCATGAATTAATGTGAGTGTACTGTGCTACTTCATGTACAATCTTGTGAAAACAAAACGTGCTTGTAACGCTACAGGTTGTCTTACTTCTACTAGAAGGGGATATTCTATGTCTATTTAATTATGTGTATGGTTTCAGTGTAATGAAAAATTTTTGTTATTTGTGGATTAATCTATTAAATTCTTTTACTGCGCAGTACCTCCTGTTAGCTGTTGTTACTGTTACGTTGTATCTCGACCTTTTACGTTACTAGCTCTATAAGGTTGCCATATGTTTTTCTATTTTCCATGCCTGTGGCGGTGAAAAGAGATTGTGGTATTTTGATAAGCAGGGTCCTGAATTCAAGGTATATATTTAATAGAGGACTGAGATAGTTAAGTTGAAAAACTCTCTCTTTATTGTATGGGCTCAAATGACGCTGTTTTATATTTCTTATGGACACATTAAATACTTGAGATTTCCAACAAGATATTTTTGTGCCTTTTATAAACTAATGATTGCTCGAATAGTTCATACGTTATGTCTTGTTAATGGTATTAATTGATCTATAAATGCTAAAGTTTTACTGTCTTGATTCATCAATTTCTATTACTTCACTCGAGAGACACGGTAGTTCCAATTATATTTCTCTGTTTCTGGCAATAATTGGATGATGTTCGATCATCCAACACTGTTGAAGAAAAGCTGTTCTTTTGCACATCAATATTTTCAATATATCAATATTTTCATTAATTTTTCTTATATCATTCACGAGTGCGCATTGTTAGGTGAAGGGTGGCCGCAAGGGGCGGGAGCCTGGCTCCTGTAGGGGAGCTGACAGTCCTCCGGTCCTGACGTCTTCCTAGTGCAGTGGTTCCCAAAGTGGGCGATATTGCCCCTTTGGGGGCGGTGGAAAGATCTGTAGGGGCCTCTGGGAAGATCTGTGTTTAACCTTTCTCTTTCAAAATTGCAGCATACCTAAATATCAAGAAAGAGGCGTTTGTTAGCGCATTTTCTCATTTATGGAAAAAGTGCAGTATTGTGCTCGCCATGTCCGTCTGTGTCTGTCTGTCTGTCCGTCCGTCCGTGACCTCAAGTTTTCGTCGACGAGAAAATGCGCTCTCTCTCACTCACTGCAGTGAGTACTGAGTTATATTTTTTATATGTGTCTGTCAGCGAGGGGGCGCTAGAGATTCACTGGGGAGCCAAGGGGGGCGGCAGCCTGAAAAGAAAAATTTTGGGAACCTACACAGTCCTAGTGACTAAAAGCTTTGGACTTGTCAGCTCACGCTGTCCAGCGCATGTCTGGGGCCATACTTTCAAAACTCGCTAAGTGAACGTAAGTACTTACGCTCTATTTTCTTGTCTATGATTGGTGGATACTTTCAAAGCTCGCTATGTGAACGTAAGTACTTACGCTCTATTTTCTTGTCTATGATTGGTGGATTTTGCTGGAAAGGCCGTCTATGATTGGCTGATGAACTTACGATCTCTTAACTTTTTTTGAAAGTATAGGTCCTGATCGATCAACTGTTTTCACTTATTCCTGAATAGCGAATAATGTAAAGCTTCTGGCATGTTAGTTCATTAAGTTTTTTTTTAACACGAGACTAACTATTCTAAGTGTAATCTTTCGGTTAACCACTCGAAGATAACTAACAACTTAAATAAAAAGGTTCCAATAGTGTTCGGTTAGCTGTTGATCGAAATTTCAAGATTTTCAGTAATATGGATGTTGGTGAATCATGTATACATTTGCTTCAGTGGCGAATCTTTTCTATTTTACTGAGGTCCTGCCTGATTGAGGTAATAACACGATGAAAATGGTTTGAGTAAAGCTTAATATCAAGTATCTGCTGTATCAATCTTATTATATCGATATTATTCACTTGTGAGGATTTCGATCCCATTTGGGCCTATTTAGTGTTGATTCTCTAGTGAACCATCCATGTCGGATACACCACTTGCCTAGTAATGTGAGCTTTTTATTTTGCTTTCTCATCGAGAATTTATAGGCAAAGAAAATAGCCAGCAAATTCACCATTTATTAATATGAGAAAACGTTTCTGAGTCCAGCTCCATCGTCAGTTCAAAACCTATAGAATAGAAGTGTGTCGGCGCTGAAGAAATAGGCCCATGGCCTATTTTTAGAATCTATTATAATTTTAGGCCCATAATTTATTATGAATTTATTTAGAATCATCTATTAGAAGAAATAGGCCATGGCCATGGTCAGTTCAAAACCTATAAGTAAAGCAGAATCAATTCTCAACTTTCTCATTGTTTGCAGCAGAGATTCATATCGTAATAAATAGTGAGGAAGATGTCCAGGATACCGAGAGTGGTGGGTGGAGCGTGGGGCCGTGTGGTGAATGGTGTGGTGCTGCCGTCAGAAACTCTGCCCATCATCACCCGCCCCATCAACATCACAGAGAAGATGGTGAGACGTCAGCAGGCTGCTGCTCGCAAGCGATCGCAAATCAACCCGCCTGTTGTGCGCCGTAAGAAACAGGTACGTGCTGCCTTGTAATAATATGCGTTTAAAATTTTTTTAAATGCAAAAGTAATTTTTTAAAATGCAAAAGTAATATTTTTAAATGCAAAAGTAATTTTTTTAAATGCAAAAGTAATTTTTTTTAAATGCAAACATTTTTTTAAATGCAAACATTTTTTTTAAATGCAAAATTTTTTTATATGCAAAATAATTTTTTTTAATGCAAAAATTTTTGTAAATGCAAAAATTTTCCAGCACATGCTGACGTTTCAACGATCGTTCTGCAAACTGGTCGTTTTATTTAGTAATTTACTCGTATGAGGCAATCCCTACAATTCGTGCGACTACTGACTTATAATAATATACGTTTAAAAATTACTTTTTAAAGACAACACTTCTGAAGAATCCAGTGTCTCCAATGTTACACATGTACAATGAATTTCTAATTTTAGTATCATATATGAAAAAATTAATTTATTTTTAAAATGTAAAAAAATTAATTTTTTCAAAATTATTTATTCTGTCAATTGATTCATGCATTGTCTCGAACTTTACGCAAGTGTGCAAAATTTCAGATCCCTTGGAGAGGTAGAAGTGTGTAAGTTTCGATTATAAGATTTGTAGCAAACAAACAAACAAACAACAAGAAGTGAAGTTGAAGAGAAGTGTTGTAAAATTGGTCCCTGTTGCTCCGATTTGTCTCTCATATTCATTACTCTGACTTGAGTTTTCAGCATCCGTCATCAGCGTATCGACAATCGCGGTGTTTTATTGCAATTAATGCGAAATTTGATAAATGACTCAAGGTTGACATAGAATACAATTGAACTCCGTTTGACCTGTACGTCGTACTGTCAGTGTGCAGTACTGGCTAATGCCACGTTAACAGTAGCTTATTGAATTACCCTCTCCCTAGGACGCGATCATATCTTGCAGCGACGCCGTAGCTCATTTAATTACCCTCTCCCTTATTTAATTGCCCTCTCCCTTATTTAATTACCCTCTCCCTTATTTAATTACCCTCTCCCTTATTTAATCACCCTCTCCCTTATTTAATTACCCTCTCCCTTATCTAATCACTCTCTCCCTTATTTAATCACCCTCTCCCTTATTTAATTGCCCTCTCCCTTATTTAATTACCCTCTCCCTTATTTAATCACCCTCTCCCTAGGACGTGATCATATCTTGCAGCGACGCTAAGAAGAACATGTACAGGGATCAGACGTACGACCAGTTCGCTCAGGTGCCGCTCGCCAGTCTGGGCTGGAAGAACCGCAAGTCCGTTGGCCAATATTTCACCATTCATCCGTTTTCCGCGGTGAGAATTTCAATATTTTTTTCAGTAATGAAGCATAATGATGTTTGCAACATTATTGTATATATGTAAATTTTGTATTTTATAAATTTCAATATTTATTAGATAACTTCCTACTAATTTAGTCGAAAGAAATGTAGTCCTTGCACCCAAAAAATTTTTCTAACATGATAAAATTATATATATTGCTCTTTACTATGGGGCTGCGTATTCCAAATGGTATTTCTCAACAACTCACAACCCTCAGTGCGCTAGGTGTCTAAAAGCGAGTCTCAGTTATGGGTGCGTGAGTTCTATGTGATTCAACTTAACATGCATTTACCCGTGAAGCTTTTTAGCTTATATGGGCATTCACCTGGAAGCATTTTGTATTTTTTTCTCAAAATTTTTTACATTTTCTTGTTATGAATTTTTTTGTATGCTCCTGCGTGAATAAAGAATAAAGAAAGAACCTATTCCTTCAGAATCCTGCGCTTCAGAGCGACTGTCAGTCTTTCTCTGACTTGCTGCTTCACCAAAAGGTCGTCGACGCTCTTGAGATGCACGGCTACAAAGTGCCTACTAGCATACAGGTAAGTTAACATGTGTAAATTATACCTTATTTCTATAGCATCTTGACTGTGTTTGATTACACTTGCTTTCAATTGTCGTGATAGAAATTAAATCAGTTTTGCGATGCTAATAACTCAGGTTGGATTCCCCTGAAGGATTATTACATTAACTGTCGTCAAAGCCACGGGTATATAAACCCTGGCTTTAAATACCACTGGTATCTAAACCCTGCTTTTAGATACCACGGGTATCTAAACCCTGCCTTTAGATACCACGGGTATCTAAATCCTGGCTTTAGATACCACGGGTATCTAAATCCTGGCTTTAGATACCACGGGTATCTAAACCCTGCCTTTAGATACCACGGGTATCTAAACCCTGCCTTTAGATACCACGGGTATCTAAACCCTGCCTTTAGATACCACGGGTATCTAAACCCTGCCTTNAGCTTTTGTGTTAGGAGAAGCTCTGCAGGTCCATGTTAGTGAAGCTTTTGTGTTAGGAGAAGCTCTGCAGGTCCATGTTAGTGAAGCTTTTGTGTTAGGAGAAGCTCTGCAGGTCCATGTTAGTGAAGCTTTTGTGTTAGGAGAAGCTCTGCAGGTCCATGTTAGTGAAGCTTTTGTGTTAGGAGAAGCTCTGCAGGTCCATGTTAGTGAAGCTTTTGTGTTAGGAGAAGCTCTGCAGGTCCATGTTAGTGAAGCTTTTGTGTTAGGAGAAGCTCTGCAGGTCCATGTTAGTGAAGCTTTTGTGTTAGGAGTTCTGCAGATACATGTTAGTGAAGCTTTTGTGTTAGGAGTTCTGCAGATACATGTTAGTGAAGCTTTTGAAGAACTTCTGTAAGCCCCTGATAGTGCATCTTTGATTCCTGTATAATTCGTCTGTCGCCAGTTATAGTTTATTCACTGAGATTATTTTAATCTTCTGCCTTGTAACGTTTTCTCCGAGCTTCTGGAGAAGTTCATGATATAAGCGTGCAAGATGAAGAAAAAATAATTTTTTTGTGAGAGAGGCTGCTCGTTGTTCCTTCTGCTCGTTTTTTGTACATGAAATTATGACTTATTCGATTTATGACAGTATCACCATATATTATGTCAATGTTTTTATTTATGAATTTCTAATTTGTGAACTGAAAATGCTCAAATTCAGTCAGTGTGCGAGAAGCTGGCTACTGAGTTGCAGTTGAAATCCGAGGTTGTGTTGGGCGCCGACAGAACACAACTCAAGCTCAGAAATCCTAAGATGTCCAACCCTGATATCTTGGTTGCCACGCTCGGGGTGCTCTCGAAACTCGTCACAAACCGTAAGCGATTACAAAGGACGTTTAGAAATGTATTAGTTTAGGACTGAACATATGGTCGCTCAGTTGAACAATTAAAAGAAATTCCGCTGTTACTTCAGAAGTATTAGAATGTGATGAATCAAAATACACAAAAATGATTCTGTGTGATTCACTATGTTACTGTAATATAGAGAAATTCCGCTGTTACTCCGGAAGTATAAGAATGTGATGAATCAAAATGCACGAAAATGATTCTGTGTGATTCACTATGTTACTGTAATATAGTTTACAAACAATTTGAGTTGCTAAAGTAAATAAAATGATTTTCCTGTTCTAAAAACAACACTTCGCATCGTCCGCAGGTATCGTACGTTTAGATCACGTCAGGCACATCGTGTTGGACGAGGCTGACACTCTCCTCGATGCTTCTTTCGAGGAAAAAACCAAGCATGTTCTTTCTAAAATACCAGTAAGATTTTTTCTCTAAAAAATTCAAGTTAGAATACGTGCATATGAACCTTCAAACGGTTATGAAAACAATCGTACAAGCCTCGTCACGAAACTGTTTTCTCTTTGGTGAATCATGTGTTTGAATGCAAGATATTTTATCGTTTTATTGCGCTCAACAAGATGTCGAAAGAGATCCAACTTATCTTCTTCAATTCCCTTATTTATCACACTATATAGTTTTGAGTTTTATATTTTATTACCACGTTTTTCTTAGCTCGCTTTCGTGTCTGTGATGATCAAATCTTGCAATCGATATTTCACCAACTTTCCCATTAGCTAGCGCTCTGAAACTTTTAGGGAAGCTCAGCTCCCGATAACAATACAATAATCAATAATAAACAATTAAATACATATGCGCCTCACGTTTTTCGTTTTAGATGTTGTAAAATATTTTAACTGAAATACAAAAGACCAAGAGAATGAAAGCAAACAGAGATCAGTAGCTGCCGAAAAATTATTTTCTACTTTTGAGTCCACATGAAAAACGTGGTCTTTAAAAATTTTTTTTATACATTTTATCTCAATAATCAGAAGCAAGATGCTTTCTTGAACATTGAACAAGGCCAGCAATTGTCCACTGTAATTTAAGCTATCGGACAACTATTATACAAATTTAATAATATGTTTTTTCAGCACAATTTTGAATTGAACCCGCGGTTTATTGTGATGTTACTTGTTATGTTCTCAGTTGCGCGTGTCAGAGGAGAGCTTAGAAGGAGCACAGCTCGTCCTTGCGGGCGCTACGGTGCCCCGCAATCTGGGCAAGCAACTCGGCGACATACTTGACGTGAGTAAAATACTCTCGTGTGTGATGTGTCTTGCTGTCAAATTAAACCATTCTGTCATCTGCACGCATTCCAGCTAGACCAAGCTACTTGATAAATTGAAAGAATCGTTGAAAGGCTTTACAAATTAAAAAGTTCATCTTCAATAAGTACCGATTTGTTTAAAACTATTTTGTACCTTGACTGCATTCATTTTATTCCTACACAACCTTAAACAGACGAAGACACTGCAGCAAGTGTCGACGAGTTCATTGCACTGCGTTTTGCCCCACGTGATGCAGCGGTTTTATCGCGTAAACCAGACAAGGAAACTCGAGTTTGTCACGGAAATCGCCATGAACGCTCACAAGAAGGGCCTACCGACCATCATCTTCAGTAACTCAGGCGCGGCAGTGGACTTTATCGGGTTGACGCTCAGGGAGGCCAACATCGGATGTGTACACATTAATGGCAGGTTGCGCTCCACAACGCGACTCGAGCTTTATAAAGCCTTCATGGACGGAGAGGTTAACATTTTGTCTGCCACAGATCTCGTGTCCAGAGGACTGGATACCATTAAGGTTAGTCTGGCAGTCGTCTTGCGCTTTCTACTATAAATGTGGGACAAAAATGAACTATCGTGTCACGACAAAACGAGTTAGCATTTTAAAATGGATACTTTTTAAAAATATTTCCAAATAAATATGACAAATTTTATTGCGTACGTGGAGCGACATGTTGGTATATTAAAAGCCTAAATATAAACAATTTTAATCGTATGTGCGTGTTCTCCCAAGGCTACTCATATCGTGAACTACGAGTTCCCCAAGTTTGCTTCGGATTACGTGCACCGTTGCGGCCGCGTGGGCAGAATAGGCAGTCAAGTTAACAAGCCAATCGTCACAAATCTCATCACAAAACCTCACGAAGTCGAGCTCGTGCAACAAATTGAGGTAAGTTTTACACTTACGAAGATAACAAAAATAAGAGACGAATTAATACGTTTCGAGTTCATTGAAAAAAAGTGATGTCAGACAAAGAGGAAAATTCATTTCCAGCAGCATAGATTTGCAAGTAGCTGTGTGATTAAAACAAAGGCAGTTTAATTAGTCTTTATTGATTTACGTAGCCTTCGAATGAAGGCAAAATGTGTAAAAACAAGACAAAGAATATTCGAATTTTGAATTCTTTCTATGCTCACGTGGCATATAATAACTAAACAAAAAATTCATAATATCTATATACCTGTGACCGTCTATCTGTACGTTTTTCTACTACGCTGTTAAATAGATCCTGTACACTTCCGCTAGAAGAATGTGCAGTAAATACGCTGAATTGTTTTTACAGTATTCAGTGCGCCAGATGCAGCCGCTGCAGAATGTTGACGCCAACATTAAAAGATTATACGAAGAAGAAAAAGAACGAATTGACGAAGGGAGAAGAGAAAAACTGGAGAGGAAAGAGAGAAAACAATGGAATAAAATGGCTGCAGCAGAGTTAAACTACTAACATCAATGTTCCGCACTTAGCGTGTGTAAATAAAAATACAAACTGTGATGTATTGAATCTTTCAATTTTAATATTTCAATTACCTGACAAATACCAACTATGACGCACAAAAAACAGCGACAGTCATGTTACAGTAAACCAAGCGCATGCTGAGTAAAAATACAGCAAGTGCAATATTATAGTGCACTCTAATAATCTTGGTGATTGAAAAGAAACAGGCAGATTCCGCAAAGAAAATTCCTTCACTTATTTTAGTTAAGGTAGAGACGATGGTAGTCGTTGGCGCCGAAAGCAGCATTGCATTTGGGGCACTTGCGTTGACGAGTTTCATATCGAGTGCGCAGGCAATCGAAGCAGAAGACGTGGAAGCACTTCACCAACACAGCGTCTTTCCTCTTCACCTGCACGTTCAAAATTGGTTCATTGGTTTGATCTTCACCGAAAATGAGAGGTTTTTATCAATGGCGTCACTAGGTCTATTTTAAGGAGTTTCAACAACCCTATATATCAAGATTTATTAGGTTTCTCGTTGATAGATTTCCATTCAGTAACATTTTTAATGTCTAAAGAAAAGATCCGAGTTCACTTGGAGTATTCAGTACGATAAAATTTCCTTACGCTCACTGGAAAACATGCTCAAAACAGAAAACAAATGTTTATTGACATAGTATAAGCATACTCCTTCAAACAGGAACAAGTTGCTTTAGACATTGCTTAAGACATTGTTCGCTAAATATAGAGAAACTAATTGTTTAAACAATACATGTGGAAATAATAAGTTCTACTTGAACATCACACTTTCCAAGCGTGCAGAATACAAGTGACGCTCACCTTACAGGACGGGCACGTCAGAGACTCCTTGTACTCACGAAGCTCTTCCATGAGCACTTCGTCTGCTCTGTCAGCCATTTCAAATTTCTTCGCTCGTTCTACTTTACGGCGAAGACTAATTGCTTCTTCCTGATAATTGGAAAATTATTTCTAGAATTAAACGCAAGGAAAAAATGCATGAATCCATTGATCGGCATGGAGCCAAACATGCGTTATTCTCCTCCCAAAAAGACGATTAACCTAAGATTGTATGTGTGAAAACTTCACAGATCATTGAACAGTCAACAAATGTTGCTAAAAATCGAGATTCAAATCGTCCTACGTAAATTATTTTCATGAAGTTCGTCGAAAGTGACTAAATATATAAGGCATGTTTAATTCATTATTTAATTGAAGCCGATAATTTGAAAAATGTACCTGGCTGCGCCTGTACTTGAAAGATTCCTGTTCCAAAGTGATGGTTTTCTCAGCCACAACCTGCTGCGCTTCCTTCATCTGCGCGTGGTATTTCTCTGCACATAATATTGAAATTAACTAAAGAAATTCAATATAATCTGATATCATTGATTATTATCGACGATATGAGGTCACTCATCGAACTGAGATGTCCACGGCGTCGCGAATGCCGCCAGAGATCACATGCCAGCATTGAAAGCAAATGTTAGCAAGTATGGAAACGTAAATCCTATATTATCAAGCGAATTCCAACTCTTCAAGATTGTAGACTATATAAGCTTATGAGGCATGAATTAGAATTCGTGCACTTCTCAAGGTACACTACTATTATCTTGTGGCTAACGCACCCAAATGGAGTTTGAGATCAGCAGCTGATTGTGCAGACTCGATGGCCTTGCGTTTATGCATCTCGAGCGCCTGCTGGCGAAGCGTGAGCTCCTTCTCAAGAGTGCTCAGGCTGTTCTGCAGCAGTCGCTCCTTCTCTTCTAACTTGCGCACTACTTGATTCTGTGCCGATACTTGCGTTGTCAAGGTGTTCACCTGATCATAGAACCAGTATTGTAACTTTTGTGTTATATTTTTGTCAACAAACTTGGTGAGATTAAAAAAAAGCTCGAATGTTTCACTCATTGCCTATCTATACGTACTTTTTGCGTTTGAAATTATAGGTAGAGGAATTGAATGAATTTAATTCACAGCAAATGCATAGAAAGTAAAGGTAAATCTTTCACAAGATTTCGCATCCAATTAAAGTATAATAGTGGACCTAGAAGCTTAAGCACATCAACAAACCTACCAAACAGATCAAACTAAAAGCGAGTGCAAATGATCCTAGAAAGTACCATTGCAGTGCAGATAAATTAACACATATCATTTACCTGTTCGCTGAGACTGTCTCTTTCTTCGTTAGCGAGTTTGTTTATTTGGTTGGACTTGATTCTCTCGGACATGAGCTTGAAATTAGCGTCATCTTTTTCTCGCAGCTGTTGAATCAGACGAATATTTTGATCCTGCATGTCTTCAAATGCTTGACCAGTCACTTCCATCTCATTCAGTAGAGTTTCTTCTTCCTGCAAAGCAATGCATGCAATGAATCACTCGAAATCTTGCACAATTGCAATGGTGCTTAAGCGCAATGCGGTATCTTTTCCTCTCGACGAAAAGCTGTCTTCAAAAATGTTTCAATTTGAAAGAGACTGACAAAAGCCTTCAGATAATTGTGCCCACATTTTTTTACCAAATTCAGCAGGAGCTAACTTGTTCCGGCAGAAACTTTGAATCATGACTCGCCTGCTTCTGCAGAGCAACTTGTCGTTGCAGATTTTGACCAGTCTCTTCAAGCTGCTTGATTTTCCTGATAGCTTCTTCATCAGCAAGCTTCTTGCGCTCCTCTCTCTTGCTCTCTTGCAGTTTTTTTACCTATGGCACACAAATACAGTCACTGAGGTAACACTTATTTTTGACATGATGACAGAAGCGCTTAGGAAAGTTCTGCTTACACACATTCTAGACTAGTCCAAACAAGTCAAATGTTATAAATTACAACACTTCTGATGGCTCTTATTGTCAAATAGCAGAACCAAATGAATTGGGTTATATCAACTTTATTTGTAAGACGAATAGCACTTCTTCAAGGATATCATCCATGTGTTAATTCGAGAAAAATCATAAAAAATTAAAGAATGGAAACAAATACAACATAAACGGATGACAAGGCCGGCAATGAGAAAGTATCATTAAAAAAGTTATTTCATTCTTTCAACAATAATGCAGCAGCCGTAACTATTCTAGACCCAGAATTCAGTGGATTAAAAAGAACTATGAAACATTATCTGAACTAAGCATTTCAACAGCTCCAGAAATCATTGGATTGTAGAATTCTAAATAAATATATTTTAATATTAAATGTTACTCGCCTGATTTTTCAGGTCTTCAACTTCCTGTCTTGCCTTCCTCTCAGCTGCCATGAGCTGAACTTTATCTCTCTGTTCCTTACCCACGCCTTTGTACATATCCAACAGCAGCTTCAGCTCGCGCGAATCGTTCAGGGCTTTCCTGAGAAAAGCCATGAATCGGAATATGCTACAGGATATGAATAGTGAGTAAATCATGTAGTACCTAAGGGTACGCACACAGTGAAAGCAGGTTTTCCCGCGCGGGCAACCTGCTCCAACCTGTCACAAGAATGAACATAGGATAATAATGTAAGTGTTCACAGTGAAAACCTGTACGAATAGGCTCCTGTATTCTATGGTTTCAGGCGCCAGCCTGAGCAGGTAACCAGAACGATGGCAACCTGCTTTCACTGTGTGCGTACCCTAACAAGGAAATGCATGTTTTCCAGCCAGTTTTTACTGATACACTAAAAAAATTCATTAGTTATTCGTGAAGGCAAACTATTTGTTCCTAGGACTATAAAACTCTGCGAACATTCGTATCGCTATTCCAAAAACGCAACATTAGGCTTAAAACAAATCTATGTAGCACGAACTTGAGGTCAGCCTTGAGATTCTTGATGGCCTCGCTCTCTCTGCTCTCCTTGAGAGCCTGGGCGGCGGCTTGCTTGGCAAGCTCCTTGTTCTCGAGCGTCTTGACGTCCTTCTTGCTCTGTGCCGCACGGTTCTTCTCACCGTCCTTCTTATCACTCTCATCGCCCTGAGCGATAACGTAAACTTTTTAAGGAATGAATATATATTGCAGTAAAAGCGTTGAAAATTAACTACAAAGAGGCACCTAAAAAATGCTTCTCACCGTCCTTCTTATCACTCTCATCGCCCTGACCGATAACATGAACTTTATAAGTAATGAATATATTTTGCAGTAAAAGCGTTGAAAATTAACTACAAAAAGGCACCTGAATGCACAAAAAAGACATTAATTAATTCATATTTTGGGTTCGGTAGTTGAAAATTTTACACCGAACGTTCAAGGGTCAAATAATTGTCTAATGGGCCATTCGGCTGACCAAAGCAAACGTATCAATAATCTACGGAATAAGAACTCGCGACTTTATTCATATACGGAATCTAGTATAAAACTGTTAAATGGTAACAACTACAGAACCAGAATGATAAAGAGATCGCAATGTGCATAAGTGATACGGAATCAATTGTGTGCATCAATTAAGTTTTTTCATAAGTTGTCTTAAGCTTAGTTGGCATTTCAATGTGGAAGTACCTATTCCATCAGGAACTGAGTAATAAATTAATTTATCTAAATGAAATTTATATAAATATTTTCGACATGAAAAAATTATTAGTTAACCTTTTCCAGTTCCTAAACTTAGATTCAACAGCATGAAAATGAAGAAGCTAACCTTCACTTGGTTGGTCCCGTGACTTATATTGATCGACATGAACATAAAGCAGCCAACATTCTCCTGGTCCCGTGACTTATATTGATCGACATGAACATAAAGAGGCCAACCTTCTCCTGGTACACACGATACACAGCAAACGTTGATTCACAACACACGAGGGAACTGATGTCTCTTACAGCCCAGGAAACTGCCCACCTGTTCTTTAGGAGGATCTGTTCGTTCAGCAGACCCGTCCTGCCTGTCAGCGGCGCTAGCATTGCGCTGACGCACCAGTAGCCTCGTCTGGCACTCTTCCAACTCACGGCGAAGCTGTTCACATTAAGGTAATTATTTAATTACCTTAATGTAATAATGTAATGTACATTTAGATAATAAAATAATGTGTATTAAAACAAGTGACATCACAGAATCTTACTCTGATCACCAATAATCAAATCAAACAAAATAGAAAGCATTTTCATTTCGAAACGAGCTGTGCTCCTATTATTAGTATCATTTGGGCGAATTCAAACAATTAATTAATGCATTGTTCCATTTTCAAACGATTGTAATTTAGTAGGTTACATTGGAATGAAACTAGACTCAACTAAATAACGGAGAAGTTCAACCACATCACTCCTTAATAATACTCGTCATTTAACTTCATAAAATGCGATGATAGAAGCAAGACAATAACTCACTACTTAATTAAAAATGCGATTATAGAAGTGAGTTATTAAAAATTAAAATGCGATGATAGAAGTAAGACAATAACTCACTACTTAATTGGATCATTTATCCAGTTCATTACATTGAGCTCAGTAAGAGAGATCCCTGAAGCAAAACTCACCTTGTTGACTTCAGCAGAGCTCTCTTTGTACTTGCGCTTATAGCGAGCGATCTCGCCTTTGAGTTGCGAGATGTGGTTCTGTAGCGAAGTTATGAGGTGGCGCATCTCCCTGTTGATGGGCCCTGTCTGCTCATTGGCTGCCAAGTTTTGCTCAAACTCAATACGTAACATCTCGTACTCCTTACGCAGCTGAGCCAGCATGTCCTCCAGCTGGATGACCTCGGTGCGCAACTTTTTCTGAGACAGCAGCTCCTCGCTCTGAACAGAAACTGAGCTTAATGATGCAATATTCCTGCTGCGTACCCTAAGCGAGGGAATACATCTAAACCAATAGTCACTCTGTGAGTACCTATTATTAATAAAGTAGATACAGAAATAGGAAGGATGTTTTTACTCCATTTGAAAGGTACGGGATAAGGTAGTGAAATTGCTAATATCCTGAAAATCGTCCCTGTAATTTCGAAACAGATTACATGTTCTTTTGTGTTCTGTATAACACAGGAGCGAACCCAACACAAATCTTGCTCATGTGACAATCACTTGATTTGCTAAATAAATCTGCAATGGTTAAAAATATCACAAAATTGATGGGAAATTAACCTCCATCTGCTCAATCTGCCTGAGATGGGCATTCTTGCTGGTCTGTAGCTGGTGCCGCGTTTCCTCGAGCTGAGTCTTAAGTTGCATTGACTCGTTGTACAGGACCGAGAACTGAGACTGCAGGCACTTGTACTCCGTCGTCTCTACGATGATGCTTTCGGGTAACTGCCGCAACTGCAGGCATGGAAAAAAATACAAGTGAGGACCCAGGATTAGAATATCAATGCTCTGAAAACTTTCGCAGAAACTGCAGGAGCAACAGTAAGTTCACAAGAATTTTTTTGCTCTAATAAGAAATGTTGGTAGAAGGTAAACTTTAGCATTTCATAGACTCGTCAACTTCACATTTAGGAATAAAAAAGGAACGAAAAATGGCCCATTTTGAATTATGGTTAACTTGAACAGTTGCAAGCATCATTAAAATGGAAACTTACATCCATTTTGAGTCGTTCTAGCTCCTTGAGGGCTTCCTTGTGTTCGCCAGTCTTCTTCTCGAGTTCATCCAGACGTTTAGTGTTGAGTTCACGAAGCTCTTCCAACTCTGCCAGGCAGTCTTCCATCTGAAAGCAATTGGTGCAACATATTATTCAAGTCATCAAGAGCCTTAAAAATATTTAAGTTATACAGCGCTGATACCGCACTGCTAACACAACTGAACAAAAGTGTACCAGCAGCAAATCTACAATATTCTACCTGACAAATAACAAATTCTTTTTGAAAAATATGGATTTTTTTTGGAAATTAAATCAAATCTTCAAACTATAGTTGGCAGTAAGAACTTCGACAATTGCCGTAGCTATTGCACAGATAAAAAAAGTCTATTAGTAGATTCAAAAAGCGGTCGTAATCGTAAAGTTAATGTATTCTCACACGTTTCAAATAGAATTCCTCAATCATATTGTCGTCAATCATATCCCTGATGATTGAGTTAAGGAATATTCGCCTATCTTTGCTTTCTGATGAATTAAGGACACTGTGGTTACCTGCGCTTTCGCCATGACGTCACATCACACAAAAATAATTCAAGGAATAACTATTGATAATCTTGACTATTGAAAATAATTACTTACTCAGGACTCAAATGACAAGGTGGCTGATATTGGCAAGAAATAAAAACCATAGACTTTGTGAAGTTAGGAAGAAAATGAAGCACTGATGGACATTAACAGGGAAGAACACACATTTACACGTTATGTCATCTGCCTTGACTACCAGGAAACGGGAAGTTTAATAAGTAATCCTACCTCGTAACAAATTGTTGCTTACAGCTGAGACTTATCGGTAGTATGTGCATTGAGGCATGTCACTGGGGCAAATAACGCCACTGGTCTCCCGGCGACCAAAAACATACATAACAAAGAAGGGTTTCAAGTATCAAATGAAATAATGTTTGACTATATTCTGCATGAACTGACCTTTCTATTGGAAATGGTGGTGACCACCTTGCCAACGCCAGGCTTGGAAGGACCGGCAGCTTCAGACGACTCGGCCTGCATCATCTGAAGCAACATGGACATGGACATGACACATGAAAATGTCTTAAATATGGCATGTAGCTACCCAAAAAAAAAAATTCATATCTGGTTATCTATTCACAGATGGACATAAATGCTTTAAATTAAAAAACTACATTTGAAACAAACTACTTGAATTAGTCAAGCTTCAATTAGCTTGCAAACTCAACACATTTGCATACTTAGTTAGACTAAATGATGAATTATTTTGACGTAGATATTATAAATTTTGTAACAATGAGCAATACTTTCATTAACCGATACAATGAGAGACATTGATACAGAAAGATTACTGCTGGTCAAGGAATATATAAATGTGACAGTAACAATATCATCAGAAGATAAAATTATACAGTGGAAAATTAAGCAGAAAAACTACCTTGAGTTTATGACACGTGTCTGCCAAATGAGACTCGACTTTTTCACACCGAGTGCGGGTCTTGCTGAGGTCGTACTCCATGTCCTCAAGCCTGTTCTGCATCTCAGCCTTCTCCGTCTCCATGGCCTGAACCTTCTCTTCCAGCTCTGCCACCTGCCCACACCCAATATTAATTGCAAACAATGATAAATGCATTAAAAAATAATTAAAATAAATCACTTAGATAGCAAAAGGGCATTTACGTCTCAACAAAACAGTAGAGATGTCTTTCTGAGTCTAATCGCTTAATTAAATAGTCAGCCCGGCGTCCTTGAATTTCAGGTGTTAACATGAAAGTACATACCGTCTGATATGAAATTTTAAAACAGCATTATTAGAACGTGAATGTGATTGTCATAGATTGAGAGAAAAATTATCCTAGAAACTCAATTAATTCTCAGGAACATGTAAAAAGTCTCATTGATGTTCAGAACGTCGGCACGATTGCCGGACCTATGAAATTCATAAAAACTGCGCATGTTATCAAAACGAAATTCGTTCTTCAAGCAATACCAGCAAATGTTCACAGTATGTAAGAATCCAGAAGCGACACTTAAGAATACTAATAAATAAATAAAACTTTGTTTTGGTTGAAGACTTACTTAAAAGCTGCTAAATTAGAATGACAGAATCTTTTATTCAATATTCAAGTGTAGATCGCCAATAAATAAAACTTCGTTTTCGTTTAATACTTACTTAAATGCTGCTAAATTAGAATGACAGAATTTTTTATTCAATATTCAAGTGTAGATCGCCTTGGATACCTTGAGAGACATGACGAATTTTTCAATAAATATTCAAGCGTAGATCAACTTGTATACTTTGAGAGACATGACGAATTTTTCAATAAATATTCAAGCGTAGATCAACTTGGATACCTTGAGAGACATGACGAATTTTTTAATAAATATTCAAGCGTAGATCGCCTTGGATACCTTGAGAGACATGACGAATTTTTTAATAAATAATCAAGTGTAGATCGCCTTGGATACCTTGAGAGACATGACGTGATGTTTCTTGTGCAGGTCAAGATTCTGAGCAGATATCTTCTTGTTCTGAGTCTGGAGTTCGACATTAAGCGCCTTCACGCCTTCGTCCAGAGAAGGGATGGGTCCCATGGAGACGTCTTCTGTGGAGCTGTCCAGCCCGCCACTGGAGATGCCCTCGCCCTTCAGAGCTCGCGTGATCTTCTCGTTACGTTGGTGAAGGCGATCGAACGCTTGAACAATCTTGGCCACGGCGCGACGAGAGACCTGCAAGTAAACATAAGAAATCAATTAAAATTCTGTGATTTTTTTGTGAAAGTGGTATATATCTCCACAATAATGCTTTATCAATTGAAAATCTATAAAAGGACTGATTTAAACGGCAAAATTGCTAGTATCAATCAGTGCATAATCTTAGCACTCATCTCGTTGATATCAAGTGACAGGAATTAAATCAATACTTGTTGATCACCTATTAAAATATAGGGAAATGCATAATACATTGGAGTATGAAATCCCAGGAATATAATCATCAGAACATGAAAGAGTCTAACTCTACTGGTGATCACACTTCAGCAATAAATGAATGTAATGGTATAATTAATTTCACATTTTCATGCTCTATTAGCTCACTTGAACTCTGTTGGCAAGCTTTTCATCAAGCTCATCACGATCCCATGTAGAAAGCATTGTCAGGAACGAGGTGGTAGCTTCACTCTCGTCTGTAATATGAACAAACACAATGTAATAATGGTAAAAATAATGGGCTAGTGTTGTTTTTAAGTATACAAACTTGATGATAAAGCCCTAATGCACAACGATTGTAATTTTCACCTGCATTTTCCATCATTAGGATGAAAATTGGAAACATTGTCAAAATTTCCAATAGCTGTTTGACATGAGATTCACTGGTAAGAGCATAAACCATTTTCATATATTCGTACAAGTATATATAACTGAAAAAGAAACAAGATAAAAAATAATCTGAGCTAGTAATTGAAATGAAGAAAGACTGACTTCTATTTTCAGCTTCATCAGAAGTTTCAGCATCAAATCTGAGCAGCATGAGGCGGATGTCTTCATTAAACTGGTTCCAGTAGCGGTTGATGACAGTCAGCACGTCATCGCTCTGAGTCTGACGCTTCTCCAGCTGCTCAATGCGACCCCTCAGCTCATCTTCTATCTTCTTGCGGTGGTCCAGGCGCTGATGTGTAAAGAGTCACAAAAAATTGTTATGTTAAATGATAAAGGTAGAACAGCATCAGAAACTAATTCAAGATAAATTTGATGATAGATATTTTTTCTATTGCAATAAAATAGCTTAGGATTTGAGCATTAAATATTTTTAGCTTAAGGAGGAATATTACAGAGTTCTCAATGTTCTATCATTTATTCAAACAATCCTGCAACTATAAAATGATAACATAATATGTATATTAGAAACCAAAGAGAGTAAAGAAGGATGTAGACGGCAGAAGGTGCTTCAAATGATATAAAAAGTTATTGAAAGAAGAGAAGTGATGATCCAATTTCAGTTTGCACATACATATCTGAAAAAATCAGATACGTATCTTTGTACAGATAAAGGAAAAAAACACTATTCAGAAACCATCATTAAATAGCACAAACCTATCCTAATATTACATTGTTATGAAGTGAAGAGCATGAGTTCCTGAAGTAAATTGCTTGGATTGGAGTAAATTGTTGAGATGACTCTCAAAGTGAAGAAAAATAAACTATTCAGTAATAACGCACTTAGCCTCATGATATCATGCATCAGGTTTACTGAAATTAATAATTACTCCACAAAATTTAAAAATTATTAAACGAGTCCAAGACGTGGTTTTGTTCTAATTTTATCATCAACCTAATGTCATGAATGTGAAATTTTATTAACACCACATAATTGAGTCACTTATGCAAATCCAGATTAATACTAATATGTTAAAGAAGACTGCTAGTTTCTGTGACACAAATTTGAGAACAGTACAGAAAACTAGAACATCGGTCAAAGTTAGTGCCATCAAGTGCTTATTCTGAAATTTAGGTCCAGTTCACGTGGCTGGTAACTGCTAATTACAGAGCAAATTCATTTAGTTTTAGTGAAAATATTATAATAATATACACAATATAGTTTATATTATAATATACACAGATAATTTAATATTAGGTATATCTGTGCTATGTATAAGATGTTAAAACAAATTTGACTAATTTGTTGACAATCTAACAACATATTAGAACTAATTACAAATTTTTATGTGAACTTATTTGAGATAATTTGGATACTAATTTTTGGATGGAACCTGAGTGCTATGAGCACACATGACATCACGAATATCACAATATTTTCTCATCATCAGCTGGCTCAATCATAAATTGTGTCCAAGTTAACTCAGAGCCCTGCATTGTGAAGAAGAGTTTAATTGTTACTAGTATACAATTTATTCACATTTTTATTTTAGATCTAATTTTTTTCAATAAGTTTACATCTGCAAACATAGATTCTCTACAAAATAAACTTCTAAGTCAATTTAATTATCTTGCATAGATGAAAATTATTGTGAATGGTGCATTACCACACCAGGTAGCAATAGCATACCTATAATGTAAATTTATACTGCAAAATTGACTTCAAAGCATTATGAAGACAAATCAATGTCTTGTTATATTATGAGCCTGGGTTTAAAACTAAGCTATTCTACTAATGACAGATATTTACACTACCAGATAGGAATGAAAAAAAAAATACATTGCAGTAGAGGTTTCATGCAACAGTTTACTTACTTGGTAAAGCTTGTGATTTTGAAATTTGAGAGTTTTGACATCCATTTCTTCAAGAGTTGAGATTGGCCCCAACTGCACAGGCTCAAACTGAACTTTCTTTGGAGGAGGCGAACCGCCCCGGCCATCTTCTAGGGGGCGTTTGCCTGACATAAATTCCTCAGTGAAGCAAGTAAATTTTCCAACTTATACCTGAAAAAAAAATTCTCAATTTATTGAAGCAAAATACATCTTATTACAAAGTGCTTTTTTGATAAACAGTAAAGTATCATGTAGATGTGAGAGGTCATCTCACTTGAAAAAAATTTATAAACATAGCTACCTCTCACCATCTCCTATTATTCAAGTAAATTTATACAGATGCCTTTTAACAGAAAAAATCTCTGTGATAATTCTGTGTTTATTCTGTGTTACTTCAACTATAATTCCTAATATGACAAATTTTGACACAAAATAACAGTGATAATGCAGCAGCATCATAATTTTGAGGATCAAATTAAAATTTAACAGAGAACATCATGAATATTAGTATATTGAGTCAATAAGATTTGATACTACAATTTTATGGCCAATGACATCATTGACCACCACCTCCACCACAAAAGCGATTAATACAAGAACTTGATTTTTTCAAGTTTTATACCAGTTTATACTAGTTTTAAAACAACATAAGGATCCCTTTTCAAGTTTATAACAGCGTTTACCAGTTTTGTAAGATGACAGTTTGAGCAGATTTCAAGTTTTTTAGTAGCAGGAGCACCCACGCCACCAGAATGGCACCTACACTAAGTACCTACATAATTACTATGTAAAGCTGTTCCCTGTATGCCACAAGGTCCAACGGGACAATAAGGGATGGAGGCTAAAACTAAAAAAGTTGCATAAAACATTTTACTGAATAGAAGTCCTAGGTAAACAAAACAGTATATACATCTGGAAATACATGGAAATCAACTTTAGTAAATAAATTTAGAAAATGATAAGGAAAGAAAGGAAAAAAAAACACAACTATTGACCTAGAATCGTGTCAATAGTTGTTTTTTAACACGTTTTTCTTAGCTTAGCTTCGCGTTTGTTTGTTTGTTTGTTTATTTGTTTGTTTGTTTGTTTGTTGTTAACATTGACAACAAAAATTAGCCCACTTTTGATTGTTCTAGAGATCTGAAATTCGGCATGCAGGCTATTTTCACCTAACAATTTCAGATACAATCATAAAAACTAGTAATTAGAGACTGAAATTAGTTTAATTGAGTAAAGTATATATATAGTATATATATATATATATATATAATAACGCTGCGTATCATCGATACGTACGTCAAGTCATACTTAATCAAGTCTTAATCGTTTTTCTTGTGGACTAAAAATTAGAAAATAAAATACTTTAAAAAACTTTTTAAAAAAAAACACGTTTTTCTTGTGGACTAAAAAGTAGAAAATAAATTATGGTTCGCCCCAAAAAAACGTGGGTCGGGCTGTACGTTCACCATCAATTTTCCGAAATTCGTGTGTTGTGTGCTTTTTGCTTTAATCATAAATCTGCCCGACACACGTTTTTTTGGGGCGAACCATAATTTATTTTCTACTTTTTAGTCCACAAGAAAAACGTGTTTTTTTAAAGTTTTTTAAAGTATTTTATTTTACTTTCTTTCCTTATCATTTTCTAAATTCATTTACTAAAATTGATTTCCATGTATTTCCAGATGTACTGTTTTGTTTACCTAGGACTTCTATTCAGTAAAATGTTTTATGCAACTTTTTTAGTTTTAGCCTTTATTCCTAAACTTAGAAGAACTCCTAGAGATATTGTGAATAAGGGATGGGCGGGGTAAATTGGAACAGTCATCCCACATTTTGTAGAAATGTTATAGCAGCTAAACTAATCAAAATATAGCAAAACTAAAAATAGTGGCGTAAAGCTCAACATTTTTACTATCTATGTAGCATAGGTATAGCAAAATAAGAAATAATAAATTTACTACCTCCAAAAAATCCCTAAAAAATGTGAAAAGTGAGATTTTGGAAAAATGCCTCTGCTAAGTAAAAAAAACATTTGCTGTATTTAAAAATTTTACTTACATAAAAGTTGCATACAGGTGTTGGCTTACAATTGTGATTGATGAAATTTTCATATCTCATTCCAAATAAAAATGGCAGGCATTTCCACACAACAGGGTAATAAGGGACATCCCCCCGGGGTAATAAGGGACACCATAAAAACACTTTTACAGTAGAACCTCCATTAGCAAAGGCTCCAGTTAACAAAAAAATCTTTAACAACAGAAAACTTTGATTACTTTACCTTGCTCAGTGAAAAAATTTCACTTAATGAAAAATTAATGCATCATCAGCATCAAAAAATTGTGCATAGAATGTCATAGGTAAAATTGTGCACTGGGTAACATAGAATGAAAAATATTTAACCTAAACTATGATTTATTTTTCCAAAAAATATGATGGTTGTTACTAAAATATTCTTTCTGTTTCAGGTATATTTTTATGATCTTTTTAGCGCATTTTCTCATTTAAGGAAAAAATGCACTATTGTGCTTGTCCATCCATCCGTCTGTCCGTGACCTCAAGTTTTCATCGACGAGAAAATGCACTCTCTGTCACTCACTGCAGTGAGTACTGAGTTATATTTTTTGCTATAGTGAATTCACTTGACCCAATTATAATGGTGTGAAATTACAAGCCATCCTGTAAGCTTACAGATACAGAGGAAATGCTATATATATATGGCTGCTGATATGAAGCTTGCAGTGGATAAGGTTGTTGTCAATGCACAATGGCATTTCCATGGATATGGTAATAACACATTAATAATATGATAATGGATGTATATGGTAATATCATATCAATAAAGAAAAAAAAACAAGTAAAAATTACAGAAAATGTTTATTATACATCTACATCATCTACAAAGGAAGAGGAGGACTTCAGCGTACTGTTAATAATAGATGGTACATTCTGCATGCTTCAAATGTTTCAAAATTGAGTTTTATCTCAAGTGTTCCAGATTACCCAGTTTCCAGGGGTAATTCAGGACGCTTTTATTTTGCATCTGGCACCTTACAAAAAGCATATGAACTTTTTTTTTAACATGCCATATGATAGCCCTTGAAAAGAGCTTTAAAATGAGTACAAACTTGTTTATGAAATGTTTCATGGTAAGAATTTATCAACAAAAAATGCTCAAAACTGTCCCTTATTACCCTGTTTGATGGTATGCTAATGCTATGGCTTAGAGCCTCATGCACACCAGATTAATCCATGGAAAACAGCACAATCCTGGCTTTGAAGTCGGGGAAGTAAAATTTCCAATAGGGGCCATGGTTGTACAGAATCTTAGAAGTTCAAAAGTTTAGATGTGTACAAGTCACATTGACATTTGATACAGAAATCTGAGATTTTAATTAAACTTCCACCTTTTACTTGCTTAAGGTGGACCATCTCCCTCTTTTGAAAACTTTTTCATTTACAAATGGATTGTTTTGAAACTCGGTACACCTATGTAAAACAGAAATCCAAGAACTTTTTGTTCCTGACAATTTTTTGAAAAAAGGAAGAAAACATGAAATTCATAGAAAACAGTGAAAAAAGAGGGGTACTTTAAAAATCTATCTCCTCCTACAAATATCATGCTAATTTCCTATTCTAATTGTTAAAGAACTCCTGCACCCCCTATTCCGTTTGTGAATGCATAAATCACTGTACAGAGATGGTTTTGGTACCGTTGGTGTTGGATAGGTCAGAATGTCAGCTTTAAGATGAAACTAAAAACCCAGAAAAGCCGAAATTCAATATTATAGGGTAGATGCTTCCCTTAACACATCAATGCCGACAATTCCCTGCGGATTATTAAAACACTTTTCCCCATTCAAGGGATTTATTTAGGCATCTTCTAAATAAATGTGACGAAAAATTTTTCCTTTTTTTATTATTACTTGAAATACAGACTGGCAACTTGGCAAGTATGTCAGGTCGTGATGTCAATAGTGAATCTTAAGTCTCTTACATCACCTTCTGTGATGTCACTATCTATTCGCAGGTCACCTCATAGGCTTTGCCTCGTAGGCTCGTAGTATATAGTATAGTATATAAGTTTGGTGAGCCAACTGCCAGTCAGTCTTAGAAGAGTCTTAGGCAGACAGCCTTCAGCTGCAGTCATGCAGCTAACTCTAGATGAGCTCACATCATCTTAGACTCCGGCAAAGCCCCGGCACTTAGCCCATCACGCAGTGACAGACTGACAGTCAGTGTTGTAATAATCTGCACATACGGTGAAAAATTACTGCAAAAACACATCATCTTAGACTCCGGCAAAGCCCCGGCACTTAGCCCATCACGCAGTGACAGACAGACAGTCAGTGTTGTAATAATCTGCACATACGGTGAAAAAAATTACTGCACATACGGTGCTTTGATCCTGTAACTTCTATGATTCTATCTAGTGTATCCCATGAACATAGTGACAAACCAGAGATTTTTTAGAATTGGTTTATTTTCAATTTCCTCATTTAACCAAGATTTAAACCAATTTTTTATAAGTTATATATGATAATGCTGTTATCCTGGACCTGGATACTTTACTGGTCTACTTATAAGACTAAAAAATGAACTTGATGGAGAGTCTAAAAAACTCTCTGCATTGCCACTTAGCGGCCATGCCACTGTGCAGAGAGTGGATGAATATTGCAAGATCTTTGGCGACGCTTCAGTAGCAAAATTTACACCTTAAGAAGATCTTGCCGACACATTTAGATTGAAATTCTTGCATTTCAATATATTTGTCAGTCTTCGGCCAACTATTTAAAAAAAAGCAAGGTTTCCGATATGTTGGATGGATCAGGATGCAGTGAAGCTTGTCCGGAAATCAGTTGCAATGAGTTCCCGCCAAAAAATGTAAACATCAAGCTTACGATTACGTAGTTGCGGTCACATTAGAGCGGTCAGACTGCACTATCACATGTTCAGTTTACCCTTGCTGTACAATCGGACTGTTTTTAGTTTAAAATTAGTTATTTGGGATAACATGTGCAAGCAAACTTGTAAATAAATTTGTGGCTTATAAATAGTTTTTCATTACTCAGCGTAAATGGCTTTTCATTAAAAATTACCCGGCGACGCATCTTAAAATTACCCGGCAACGCTTAGGGCTTAAAAACCCATATATTGGCGACGCTGCATCCACCCTCTGCACCCTTGTGGCCATGGACCTATCTCTAATACTTACGCTTTGTTGGCTTTGATAGCTACATGTCTTGTTAAATTGTTATTATCCTTCCCTGGCCAATGAATATTTAATACATTGTTTAGACAATTATAAAGGAACCAAACCCCTCAGGACTCAGGTTTTTCTGCCATTGATTTGAAGATCTTTGATTGAGGAACTCATCAATTTACAATCATGTTGCCACCAAACCAGTAACCTGACAGACGACAGTGGCGCCCGAGTGCGTAATCGGTAAAAACAATTAAAATTGGCACTTGGCAGTGAAGTGAAGTGAAAATGTCTTTCTCGGAGAGTGTATCAAGAACTGATAGGGAAGAAAGGAGAACACCATCTACTCATTCTACTGGAAGAGACACCAGCCCAGCGCTGCATAGTGGCAAAGCCAAAGCAGAGAGTTTTTTAACCTCTTCCTGAAGTTCATTTTTGAGTCCTATAAGTAGACCAGTAAAGTATCTTGGAATTTGGATACCAGAATTATCATACATAAGAAATCTGTTAAAATCTTGAGTAAATGAGGAAATTAAAAATGAACTGATTCTAAAAAATCACTGGTTTGTCACTAGGCTAGGCCTATGCAGCGCTGTCTATAGAACTTTGTCTTTGGACTCAGTCACTTGGCATCAAGCTCACGTCACACGGTCACAAGTCACAACTGTTTCTAGAGTAACTAGACTAGTAGTGACAAAAGATGATTCTGTACTTTTCTGACGGCGATGCACGTAAATAACGATCAATTTATCAGCATCTCTTAGTACCTTTAACAGCCTTTAGCCAACAGCTTCACGATTCCACTAACCAAGCTTGTCAGCTTGAGAAGTTGTCCCCTGGCAAGCAATTCAAACACCAGAACTAAAACTTGGATCTTCACAGATCATAAAGTAATTGCATGAAATTGTTCCTAGAATTTGAAACAACATAATATACAAAAAAAATATTAATAATAATATAAATGAACAAGAATGAACTATATGCTATTTCCGTCCACTAAATTTTTCCCTTGGCAACGGCCTTGGGAGCTAAGACTTCGTTTAAGGCTTAAAACGCTTCGTTTATGGCCATGGTTTAAGTCTTAAAAAGAAGGTGCAAATGTGGAGGTGAACTGAACTGGAATGGCGGTGCAACCTAAAATTCTATGCTTCTGGGCACATACATTGACATATATACAGAGGTGGGCACTGGGCAGTAGCGCGCTACATTTTCAGTAGCGGCGCTACATGCAATTGTAGCCCGCTACATATTTAAGTAGCGATACGATGTTTTGCCGCTACAGCTCTACCGCTACATTTATAGATAAAGCCTTTAGATTTTACTAAATAATATTAAATATTATTTAAAAACCAGCATGATACATACATAATATAAATTACAGAATAAAACTGAACGAAAGATTTCGGTGTAAAGTTGTCAACCTCAGCCTGTTACTAGTGTCAACATGTTAGTCGTTACCAGAGGTGTGCAGTAGCGCGCTACATGTAGCGGCCGCTACATTTAAGCAATTGTAGCCGTAGCGCTCGCTTCATTTAGAGCATGTAGCGGTAGCGGCCGCTACAATTCAAAGTAGCGCTGCCCAGCTCTGCATATATGAAGTTCACATATACGTATTTCTGTGCAATAACTTGTATGCCCAACCATACTAAAACTTACCGGTATATTCACTAACTAATAACAAATAAAGAGAGCAACGTTCGGAAGTTATTGAAGAGGAAAAATTAGACCTTCAGAGTTGAAGTAATCTACTCGAGGTGCATTTTAAATAACATGGGTTGCTTTGGAGTTATTCTTCCATTACTACGTTCCAGTCATTACATATTAGTATCTCATTTTAGTACATAGCAAATTTTTGGGGATGTCAGATTGCATTACTTTCCCATCTAAAACAATTCCACACAGGTCAGTTTTTCCACCTTTCATCACATCCACTCGAAATGTGTACTATCAACTTGAGTCACAGTTACTCCCAGCGAGAAGCTAAAATCATTGAAAATATTAAGCATTAAACTGTGCACCGCGCTTTTAATTTATCATATATTCACTGACATTTAGGCCTATTTTGCATATGATATAATTTTCAAGAGCCTAAACACGTGGTTAAAGCAGCGTTTTCAGTACATTTTAGATTTGAGTTATATTATGAACAAAGTAAGCTGCTAAAGTTGTCATAGGACACCAAAAGGATCTTTTAATAAACAATAAATTTCATGATCTCAAGACCGTGTACTGTATGATACAGCTGATGTCACTTAATACAAGTTGTTTGATTTCAAAAATTTAACGCTGCTCTCATTTGAATTTACAGCTAATCGTAAGCCTTCTCGACAGAACTGGCAGTGCGAACGGGGAACTAACATTGGAACGTGAAACGTCACTGATAACTCAATGAAGACATGAGTTTGTTATAATAACCAAACCTAACATTCGTGAAATAGCATTACACCAAAGTAGCCCTAAACACACAAGTTCACTCGGCCGAAGTCACAATGATGGATGATATTGCTGCTGAAATGTCTTCGGAAATTGTTACTTCAGCATTAAATCCTATAATATTAAATACATTAAGAATATTCCTGCACTAAGCCACACGACAAGAACTACTGGCACTCGAAGTTTCCGGAAAATAAAAATTCTTAGCGTTCATTGGTGCAATAACCATGAGTTCGATTGAGCATCATAGCCGCCATAAAATAGAATTCTAACCGTACTAATCCCTACTAATAAAGTAATAACCGACACCGGGCCGTTCCGTACTTGCTACATCTCGATCAACTTCGGTTTCATGTGCAGAAAGATACCAAATATTTTCTATGGATGGGTGCCTATTCAAATTCCGCACCTCGATACCACAAAATAAACCTCATTTCATTGAAGCACATATACTTTTTATGGTCAAGATTCACGCGTGAGAATGGAAAAGAGAAACGACACAAAGATTGACGCAAGCGGAAAGACGACAAATGCACCTTCAAAGAGATAAAGAATTTCTGACAGCATTACTCTATTATAAAAGCTATTATCCTGGTTCGAGTCAAACTTCAAAAGAACAGACGAATTTTACGCGATGGCCAAAACGCCTAGCAAGCCTTCATTGAATTCGGAGATGAGCAACAAAAATTTATAAGCGGACATCAATTGACAACGAAGTATTAAATGGTCATTATGTTAAATTTCAAGTCGTAAAAATTGCAATACATTAAACATTCAATAATTTAATCTCCTGAAGAGACGTCTATGAATATTTATCGTAAAAGTATTCAACATATTATCCCTTATATCCAAGCTACAGTCAAAGCAACGTTTCTGCAATGCAAATGATAGAATGCGACGGTCATTTCTGCTTACATTGTTCAAATAATTCACGTTATTCCAGAGGATCTAGAAGTGAAATACTTATGCATGAATTAATACTAAAAAATAACTTTACTCCCTCATTCACACACACAAACTTTTTTTTCGACATTATCGTGCTTTAAGAGTTCCTTCAAAGTAGAGAAACTCGACCTTTTTAAGAATGTGAACACTTAGGAAATGTTCTGCCTTTTGGGTCCAGCTAAACATTAAATGTTTTTTATAATAAAAGGATGACTGCATAGCAAACTTGACATGTAATAATTAAGCAGATAGAACGTATAGAAGAACATTAGAAGAGTCACTTGCGTGGTGAAATATCAGAAACGACAGTCGCGTGCGATTCATCAAACTAATCATGATACTAACACAACACTCAATGAGATCTGCGCACGCGAGACTGTTGGTAAAGCTAGAAAACTGTTCACATGGCGATCGAGTGACAAGACAAAGCTTGGTCGTGATCAACATATTATCATCCTTGAAATTGCATCAAAATGAACTGATTGACGTACAATGCTATACGACAGCAAATTATACAAATATAACCATGAAAACTTCAGTATTTGAAAGAACAATAAAGCGGCTTTCGTTCGCCAGTAGACGAGAGAAACAAGAAGTATCGTCTAAAGTAAAAATCTGGCCACAAAGTAACGGCAACTTCAATATCAACAGTACATTATCAAGATCATGCAAGTAGGTCCCTAGGCATATGTTTACAAATACATACCGAACTTACATGAACTTTAGACACCGTAAAAAGACAGCACTTTAGTGTCAAATATTTGGTATGGGTAATACGGGCCTTTCTCGACTGGCAAGAAGTAACTTACAGCAATGCTTCACAAAGTTTGTAAAAATATCACACAAAATTCTGTCGCTATTAATTGTTTAAATACTATGATTCTCTAGCGTGACTACTAACACTTATATTATAGACACTCGGGAATCTTTATTAGTTTCACTGCAATCGTCATTGAGCGGATACGCGGGCTGTGGCTGAGAGGTTTTTTCGGACGCACTGTGGCTAATGGCAGGCGGGGAGACCAGATCAATTTTCTCAGCTCGCCCGCCCCAGTGCAACACATAGCGCGCCGTGCGCCAGTCTATCACAGGGTCTCGCAGGGCCTTCACGTGCACGAATATCGCGCTCAGTTCGTGGAACAGCCAGGCTACCGCGAACTCAAACTTGCTGAAGGGAGGCGAGCCATTCTGTAAGCAAGTATAGTCATGAATCCACACAATCAACTATAATAATTAGGCGTTTCGCAAAAAAAAGCATTTAAAATTCACATAATTTTCTATTTAGTTTGCGTTTGATAAGTTTCCTGACAGATGTGAATAGCACGAAAAAAAAACATGAATTTAACTTTTATTTGTTGAAGCAAATAGCTCTGCGAGCCAAGATAGGGTAATGATCAAACTGAATTCATAAGTCCAAAAAAAGCATACTAAAATATATACTATCCAAGATAATCCGCGTAAATTCAAGAGCTAAAACAAAATTATTGGAAGAATCTAAGCAATCCATTAAAAATTGGCTACTATTTACAGAAAAAAACTTTGATAGCTTGGTTTTATTTCGCGCATCCCAATGGAGTTATTATAAATTTAATGGTAAGTATTCCAGAGCTGGAATAATTAGATACTTGGACTGGACTGAAGAGTTACCTGAATGATGTTGAGCAGCAGCCAGTCTGAGAGGATCCAGGCGAGTAGATGAAACAAGAAGAAGGCAAGAAAATCAGCTTGGAACTGCACGGTCGCAGCAGCAGCAGCCACCAAGCCCAAGAGGATGCATTTTGTCGTCGGCTCGATGAACGTGGCAAAAGGTGCCATCTTTAGCCTTAGTTTGGTCCATCTGAAACGCATAAAAGAAAATCCAGTTTAATTATGTGAATCATGCATTAAAATTAATACAGAAAGAAAACATGGTGCCAGTCCAGGTAATGACAATAATTTTACTACGTATCACTTTAATTATTTAGTTATATTTAACATGAACCCAACATGTAATTAAATTTAACATGACCCAGAGTTTATACATCAACTGATTTGCGCACCCTAATTTAATCGTAAAATATGATCTTCCTCAAGAAGAAAAAATTTATCAACCCCCCCCCCCCCAAAAAAAAGAACTTAATCCCAACTTCAAATGGGGGTGCAAATCCAAGGATACAAGGAAGACTTAGTCAGCAGAGGCAAAAAAAAAAGACGATTGACACAATAATACACGAGACTCAGGACTAGGCTATTGAAACAATATAATGCAAGGCATACAAGCATAATTTAAGGGCAGACCAGAGTAGCCCTAAGTTCATCACAAAAGTTTTCACATTGGTTGCTCCGTTGCCTCTGGTCAGGTTACCTCATGAGGTATAAAATCCCGCGAATGGATCTCATTGATCAAGAGACACACTTACCTCTCAAGTCTGGAGAAGTGGAAGTCTACGGAGTATACACCGTGGTTCTGCAGTGCTGGATGAGAAGACAGCCGAACGCCCCACCCGTGACGCTGACAGTACTCGGCAAAGAAATAGTCTTCTGCCAGGTAAGGACTGAAAGCCTCAATACCTGCCAGTAATAAAATTCATTTATAGCTGTAAGGTTGTAAATTATGTTTTAGAAGACACTGAATAAAAGGCGGAAACAGTCAAGACAGACCGCGACTTGTCAGTTGGAAGCCAGCAGTTTTAGTTAGCAACACATAACGTCGCTGTCATCTTGCTGTAGCGTATTTCAGTGATTTTAGCATAGCTGAAAAGCACTGCCTTAATTGGCAGGTTACATCAATTTAGTCTTAGAACATGGTATTGAATTTAATCATTGGTTATAATTAGTATATATTAGGAATTAATTCATCGGCTGTGATTATCATTCAGTATTTGCCGAATCAACTGTTCAGTCTTGAAATATTGTTTGTTTTATGTTCAGGGTTGTGGAGCTGGAGTCAGTGCGCTCCTGGAGAGCGGATCGTTGACCAGATTGAAGGTCGAGTTTGTAGAATTCGTCTGGGGTGCTCTCAGATCAAAGAGGACTCCTGATCACAGCTTGAGACGATCAAGCTGTTATATAACTAGAATGGGGCATCCATTATGCCAAGTGTATATAGGTATATTTAGTGTTCCATTCATTATGTTCCATTGTATTGATGTGTTAACTATTCCATCTAGTCTTGTTTAAATAAACTGTTAATGGTAGATAGGAGCGCTTCACGAAAGGTACCACACACAAGTAGGAAGCAAACCTGAGGAAGCACCAGCTTCATTGCAATATTGCAATGGTGGCCAGTGTGTTGTAACTACTTCTTCTAGTGCGTTGTAACTATTTCATTTGGTTGTTAAGCATTGTGAAATATTGATTTGTTATTTTGATTGTGCAATCTGTTATTTTGATTGAGCACAGAAAGTTTACATTGATAGACATTCTTCATGCTTGGTTCTCTTAAACCTCCTCTAAGTTTCAGTGATACAGAGAATACGTTTAGGTACTAAATGCCATCTTGGGAAGTCATTGATCTCAAATTTATTATCAATAAAACCAAATGATGCTAAAAGAAATGACGTCTTAACATAAATCTTACCACCAGCATGTTCAAAGATCTGCTTTCTCATGAGAATGGACATGCCAATGCAGAGATTAGCTCTCATCTTCAGTTGGTCCAGGAGATTGAGGAAGAGGGAGAAACGAGCTTGATTCCCACCAAAATTCACCTGCAAATTACAGGAGGGTAAGAGCTGTGGGAAGTAAGGCGATCTAATACCAATAAGACCAACAGTCATATCTAAAGGCTCCATACCTCTACTGAAATAAATATGTATCAAGATTCATACCATGAACAAATGACTCAACAAAAAAAAAAAGTGTAACCAACCTTCTCTAAGGAAGCTGCCCAGCCTTTCCTGTCAGTGGTGTAAGGCAGCTGCATGACAATGCCAACGTTTTCAGTCATGCAGCTGACCATTTCTGTCAGCACCTCAGGCTTTGTGAAGATGCCGGCATCACTCATGAGCAACAATGGGTAGCGTGCAGCATGGTAGCCTTTATACAAGTTGTTGATCTTTGGATTCACGCCTACATCAGCAGCACCTTTAAAAAACAACCAACAATTCTGTTAATAAAAAACGAGATTTCTTTTGGATGATGTGTGCAAGTTGATGAGGATCTTTAGATGAAGATATTGTTAATGCTTCAATGGAAGCACTTGAATGCTAAGAGGATTGCTTCATCAGGTACAGAGGGTAACTATATTGAAACAAGCAGGCAGGCAACTTAGAGATGATAAAAATAATAGAAAATCTTGTGTCAGGAATGATTGTCCGATGAGACTTCAATCACAGCAAAATTTCAAGCATTGAGGGCAAAATTATATTTGCAAGACATAAAAGTTCAAAGGATTATGAAAGTGAAACTTTCATAACTTCATTTTATCCATGTCCTTTTATCCTTGTACAAGTAGAGCAACTTAGGATGAAAGTGAAACTTTTGTTTAGAAACTGAACTAAACTAAAATGAATTGAACAATAAGGAAATGCTGTTTGTGCCTCAAGTTGTTCTATCTGTGTTATGAAAGGCTAGTTACTTCATTTTTTTCACCTGGAACTTTTATTTAGGACAGCATAGATCGTTGTGCTATCACAGAATTTGAGATATCTTGATTCATCTTTAGATCATTGAATTCATTCAAACCAATTAACACTTGTTGCTTTGCATAGTCACAATTTTATCTCAAAAGAAGGTGAAGGACTACATCTAATCTATTCTTTTGAGCACAACACAAATTGCCTTCCAGAAGGCTCCTAAATATTCATTGTTTCATAAATATTCATTAGTTAGCTTTCTTAAAAGCTGTGCACATTAATCGGGTTAACATGAGCTATACGTACCTATAGTAGTTAATTTAAAGAAGACCATTATGCCTTTTTGTGGCATAGGTAGTCACTAGTCAGCAAACTCCTTTCACACTGATTGCAAATTGTACTTATACATATTTTAATATGAGATTCAACTCAATATAGAATATTCAACTGTTGAAATTTTTAAGATAAATGTTTATAATAAATATCATTTAATATGTAAACTTTGTTAGTTAGATTTCTTTTGAGTCTAGTCAAGATTTTAATAAATATTGTCAGCATTAAAACAGTCAGCATGCTGCCAAAATTATTCCCTTAATGGGGCAATGTCTCTGGGTAAACAGGCAAGGACTTTGAATAAAGCAGGCACATAAATTATGTCAGTAAATATGGATTGGTAGGACATATATATCAATGGAAAATTAAATATAATTTGTTGCAAAAACAAAAAACTAACTCACCAATGTGTAAAGATGCTTCAACATTAGGATATTTGAAATATGGATTGGTAGGACATATATATTAATGGAAAATTAAATATAATTTGTTGCAAAAACAAAACTAACTCACCAATGTGTAAAGATGCTTCAACATTAGGATATTTGCTCATGAGCTGCTTCACAACCATGATGCTGGGGTCGCCTTCCTCAGCTATACAGAACCGCAACTCAAACTGCCATTCAAGATGTTAATTATGTTAATTATTGCCTCACCTAGTTAAATCTTTCACCTAGTTAAATCTTTCACCTAGTTAAATCTTGTTCAACATTTCAACATTTTCAACATCACAAAAGATAAATTATTTATGTTGTCATGGTATTCAGTCACATGTACGGGAATAGATTATCCATATTTTTAATAAGAATGTGGCATAATGAAGTTTGGAATTATGGACTCTTTACGATCAATATTTATAACCCGCATTAAAATATTCTCATCCCCACTTATGTAATGATAATCCTTTCAATGCTTTTGAAAATGTGCTAGTATGTATTAACAATACAACATAAAGTAAAGACTGAAAAAAATTATCTCACCTTAGGATATGATATAGTGAAATAAGATTCTAAATTGGTCATGAGATTAGGGTCCATGGGTTTGCTGACAAGAGGCTTGAGAACAGTGACGCCCACCACGGCATCTCCTTTCTCCACCGCATCATCAAATGATTGGATGGTTGCTCTCCGTCTGAACTTTCGGCAACTGGCAAAAGAGTTCAAAGAAGGGAATACAAATATGATGCCATTCACAAACCTAAAAATTATAACTTTAGAAATAAAATGTAACATTAAACATTATAAATGTATGAGAGAAATTTATTTACAATAACCAAATATGACTGTGGAAATTTTTCAATCAAGTTAGAGATAGAAACTTTTATATGAATATTAAATAGTTTGAAAAACTGTTTGCAATGAATGTCAATCTCTTGACAAGAGCCACAACTAATCATGCATTATGGTAAAAGATTGTATTAGCAAAATTGACCAAGCCTTGAAAAGTGATTGTATCTAGTCAGCATCTTCATAGACAGTTTTAAATGTCAATGGCAAGCTACTAATGATGTAGGGAAGCCGAAGAAACCAGTATGAGAGAAATTTTCAATGTTGAAACATGAAATAAAATAAAGATATTAGTCAATTAGAATACTCACCCATAAACAATTCCAATGAGATGCACACACCATATCCCGACCCAGTAAATGAGAATGCCGATGGTAAGAACATCACAAAAAACAGACAGAAAAGACCACACCACTACCACCATCCCTCTGACTATCCACACCAATATGGTTTACTTTCACTACAACAATGTTAAGTTTCACTATTGGAAGTCTATTTTCTAGAAACATTTCACAGCTGTGTATGTGAAATCTCAAAAAGACCACTTAAATTAACACCTAAAAGCCATGTAAACTTGTTTCTTTGGAAATGTTCTGGACAACAACACTGGATAATACACCAGAGAACAACACTTTTGGCAATAGATGGATCCATCTTCTATAACTGAGATACACTTGGTGATATAGAAGCCACCATTTTGAATGTGAACATTTCAGCAAAAAAGGAATCTGCCAAGAAAGACATTGTTCATCATAAGGTGAAATTCATATAAATTTTTGGGACTTACTAATACACAAGTAAAAAAATATAGAATATCTTTTGATATATGGTATTTATGGTTTTTCCTAAGCAGGGTATATATAAATTCAAAATAAAGGGGGCAGCTAGAGTTTGCAACTATGTGGTACACATGGCAGCTAAAGTTTGCACAGAAAATTAAAGTAAATTCCAATTCCCTAGTCAATAGCCTTTAGACTAAAATATAAATATCAAACTAAAAAATTCCACAAAGTCTAGCCCATTGAGAGAGTGGGTCAGACCCAACATTTGATTCCAGCCCACCTACTAAACTGGCATGTATACATAGGTTTAATAATTTTCTTCAAGAGAACCTGATTTTTGACCTACCAATGGCAGGGAAGAGGTAAAAAAAGAAATTGTTCATAAAATCTATTCTCTTGTCATTGATTTAACTTGAATATATAGCAGCTAAATAATATAGATGAATGTGCTTTCTGACATAATGTTAATTTGCCAATGTTTTAAGCCTTGATTGCAGACTTACATTTGATATTACGCAATTTCAGTAGCAGAAGATGCTACTAGAAAATAATCAATGTAAATCTGACATAGATAAATACCTGTAGCTTGACAGAGAGCAGCTTGGAATTTTATGTCATGAGATGATGAGCTATAGGTTATTCTGGAAGGTAGTTAGGTTGATAGTTTCAGGGTAATGTAAAGGTATCAGGTTGACCTAGCTCTGCTGGATTAACGTGCATGATAACCTGGTACTGTGTGTTATACTATGTCACAGTGTATCCTAGCTTATCAGGTTATCCCACAGTAGTTGATCAATCCTTTTGCAGGCAAGCATTGAAATTTCCGGAAATTAAAATCTTAAAAGCCAGCTCAAAAAAGTAAGAAGTATTATACAAAATATTAATTTGTATGCATTTCTGAAAATTTTGCATATTGGAGGTTTAAATAGCACTTGAAGAATTTCTTAAGGCAGTCACTACACAAAATGTTTTTGTCATACTTAAAATTTGGTTTGTGTGGATGAAAAAATTAATAGCATAAAAATATAATTCAATTCAATCATGCTAACTTAAATAATTATGTATATATTTATAATTCTGCCTTTTTAAAAATGCAGAAAGTGCATCAATTTCATCATCCAAGTCAAAACTTTAATGCTCATATTATAATTTTTGTGCATGGCATGTAGTGATGCTATGAATGGAACAATGGTCAGATAATTAATGATTGGCTGAGGCATAATAAGGAAGCCAGAAACATAAACTGGAAGCCATTGTGGGTCTCTTTGCGAGGCAATTTCATGTGACCATATATGGTAATTTGCCCATGAAAGGTTATGCAGGAGCGACAGGCAACAGTTGATTAGTTAATAAGTTGCCCTATCAACCCAGCATTTCAGTTTAGGCCAAATAGCCCTGTTGACAGTAGTGAAGCTGTGACCTCTATCCAATAACCAATGCCAAGTAGTAGTGTAACCTCAATTGCCAGGTTATCCAGACAAATGTTAATTATTATTACCACATTACCAAAAGAGTTAGGAACTGAAATATTTGCTTCTCATTTAATTCGTGCAGGAACACTGTAGTTTGCAATTCTTTAAAAGACACTTCATTGCTCACAATCAGTGTGTGAGACAAAAAGCTTCTAATGAATTTTTCAGTAACACATCTTCATGTTTTCTAGTCATTGCCAAAAGTTATGAAGTAGGTATAAGTAAGTCATAGAGCTTAATATATCAACTGATACTATTTTCATAGAGTTCAATTTGTCAAATCTTGATTGCCACCCAAACTATAAAATTTGAAAATCACCCATGAATGAGAAAAAATCTCCCAGACATTCCAGATTGAATTGAAAGTTTGACACCATGCTAATCTTAGCTCGAGAAATCAGTATTCAGCTTCAGACTTGTTTCAACAGCTAAACCCATTAATACCGAGCAGTTTCATTTGGAACCAGCGGAGAAAAATGAATTCATAATAAATTTGTACGATCAAATATATATACAAGTGGATGCATAGGTTTGATACAAATCTTGTACATATCCTGGCAATGTTTGGTTCTGCTGCACTGATTACTCCCTGTTCAGTTAACATTCAAAGATTATAAAAATCAGGTGTCAGGAGTCCAGGGCTGGAAAAGTCCTATCTTTTTCTGAAATATCATGGCTCTAATATCATATAATTTCAGTAGGTATGAAATCTCATGGCTCTTATGTCATGTATTTATCTTTGATTGAAAAAAATCACAGTTTGCACTCCGCAAACATTTTGTTTCATAAAACTGCGTTAATATACTGCGTTTACCCTAAACATAGGGTAAATGCGGTATATTCCGACATTGTGGGTAATTCCCACACTTCTCAACTTTTTCCTTTATATTAAGCTTTGTCTTAGTTCCACGCATTCGTTGATGGTTGAAATAGTGACGTCATACTATTGCACGCCATATTATTGCCAAAACACTAGGTCTGGGCTGTCTGGTGGGAAAATGTTAAGAAGATATACCAAGATATACAGCGTTTACCTTAAAGATAGGGTAAACGTGGCAGGGTTGGCAATGATTAAATCAAAATGATTAAATCATGTGATTAAATCACTTGATTTTTTTATAAAAAAATCATGATTTTTTTATTTTTTTTATTTTTTTTATTTTTTCATATATTTAAATATATTGAGTGGCAGTCTTTAATTTATATTGAGGTATTGTTATTCATGGTTTAGTATAAATGTACTATGAATGACAAATTGGTATATAAACTTGCCTTTAGTGTTTATTAGGTTCCAATAAATTGAATGTTTTTGGTACAGAGGCATCAAGTGTGCAATACATTGTACGTAGCTAGCAGCTTAGCTAATTCTTATAAGGCTATAAGAAACTATTTGACTATTTGTTATATATTGATTACAATATACAATTTACATGTGTTAGCTAGCTTATACAGGGTGGGGCAGAACTTATTGAACAGTTTTAAGGTGAAATAAAAAAAGTAATGGAGGTACATAAAGAAGAAAGTTTATTTTCCTCAAGATTAGCATAACATACCATTTAGAATACTTATGTTTTGAAAACAATATCAGGAAGATGGTGTCTGTTAGCTGCATCACACTGTTGGAGTCATTCTCAGAAGTTTCCTACAGCACGTTCACACATATGGCAAGGTATGACCATAACCTCTGCTGCAATAATCTGTCCCCTTAGCTGTGGAAAGGTGTGAGGGCAACTTCTGAACACCCTTCCTTTTAGATGTCCCCAAAGAAAGAAATCACAAATGCTCAAATCAGGTGACCTTGCAGGCCACTGTAAACCACCCCTCAGAGACACCAGACCTCCGGAAACATGCGTTTCAAAACATTGAGTGACATTCGGGCTGTGTGAGCTGTAGCCCCATCCTGCTGGAACCACATGTCTCCCAATGCTTCATTTTCAACAATGTTTTCCATCATGGGCTGCAAGAAGTTTTGCAACATTGCAGCATAGCAATAGGAATTCACTGTTACGGTTACTCCCTCCTCTGAGAACAGAACGATCTAAATGTTATGTTATGCTAACCTCTATGAAAACAAACTTTCTTCTTTATGTACCTCCATTACTCCTTTTTTTTACCTCAAAACTGCTCAATTGGTTCTACCCCACACTGTATATTGAGAGGTTGAGATTGTATTGACCTTTTAGGCAATTAAAAAGATTTTCCACCCTAATACAAGAATTCTAATTAAAATAATTAATTACAATCTTTAAATATGTGAATTTAAAACTAGAAACAACAATTACAATTATAATACTATATATAAAATAATTAAATGCAGTGAATGGATAAAAAATATTTGAATTGTGCACATGTTCATTTCAAACAGTATTAGCTTTTCTCATAATTTAAGTCTAGCTTCAAGTCGTTTGAGAATTGTTTGGTTATCGTTCAGTTTATGTTTAGTATTGGTTTATTGGTCAGAATTAAATGGGAACAGTGCTGTCAGTCACTCAGTCACTACTAGATGGTGTGTATAGAGGGTAGAGTCTGGTAGATTTAGAGGACATAAAACTAGTAGATCTATTGATAGTGCTGTGCACTGTGCTATCAGCTACCTATCTGTTATGTGACTCTTCAATGTTTAGATGATCTGCATTCCTGAAGTATTTCTGTATATTGAAGCCAGTTAAATGGTCAATGTTTAGCTCATTACCTTGCTCCATACAAACTTTACAAAGCTAATGAATAGACTTACCAATAATTGTTTACCCAAAAATCCCTAAGTGGTACACACCACCTTGGCCTGTTGGCATTATTGAAGGCAATAAGTGCCCTTTTTAGCCATCCATTATGATCCATATACCGTTATTGTTAGTAGGCTAATTGCAACATAGAAAATAACACTTCAAAAAGACAAAAAAGCTGAAAAAATCAAAAATCAAATAAATAAAAAAAATCATGAAAAAATAAAAAAAATCATTGATTTTTGATTTTTTTGATTTTTTTTTAAAAATAAAAAAAAATCGCCAACCCTGAAACGTGGTATATTCTGACATTGTGGGTAATTCCGACACTTCTCAACTATTTCCTTTATATTAAGTTTTGTCTTAGTTCCACGCATTTGTTGACGGTTGAAATAGGGACATCGTACTATTGCGCACCATACTATTGCCAAAACACTAGGTCTGGGCCGTCTGACGGGAAAATGTTAAGATCCAAAGAGAGAGAGAGTGCACGTCACCCAGTGAGAACATCGAAAAACGTGTCAAAGTTGATAGTAGACCTTGCTCTACCAAATAGTGATAAACTGTTATATTTTTTGGTAAAATAACTCCAGGTTTTGATGCATTGTAGTAGAACTTTTCTAGTTACATATGCAAAAGACAAATTTTAGGAAAGTGTCATAGTTTGCAAATGGGGGGCGCCGCCCCCCAATGGGGTAACTTTGACCACCAAATGGCAGCCGTGACGGGGTAACATTGACCGGCTT